CACTGTATTGGGTCAGACACTTACAGTAAACTTAGGGATATATTGCATCCTGTATCACCTATAACTAAATCCTATGCTGAATTAGTTCAAACTCTTAATTCACATTTTACACCAAAACCAAATGAAGTATCAGAGACATTCAAATTTCATTGTAGACACCAATATGAAGGAGAAAACGTTTCTGAATTTTCATTGGATCTTAGAAAGTTGTCTAGATATTGTAATTTCGGCACATTTCTGTCAAAAGCCCTGAGAAACCAATTCATACTCGGGCTAAGGGATGAAAAAATACAGACAAGGTTAATTACTCTAAGTGACAGTGATTTGAGTTTTGAAAAAGCTGTAGACATGGCTCAAGTAATTGAAAAGGCTCAAAACGATTCAATAACAATCCAATCAAAATTCAATCATGAAAAAAATGAATTGCCAGTTAACTTAAATGTTGTACAACAGAAAAGTTTTCAAAGACCTAAAAACAGTACCAATCTTAAACAATGTTACCGTTGTGGAGAGTTACATGAATACATATCTGAATGCAAACACAAAAATACAACATGTAACTTCTGTAAAAAAATAGGGCATCTAGCAAAGATTTGTTTTAGGAATCCTAATGCACCTATCAAATTGCAAAGACAAAATAAGACTACATTTAACACTACTTCAAGAAATGTAAAACAAATAACAGACTCGTTCGAAGATCAAAGTGAAATATTTCTACAACAAAATATGAACAATTCTGTTAGATCCCTCTATAAGGAAACTAATGTTATTGACATTTGTTCTATGAATACATCAGAAGATAAATTTAGGAAAATTATGTTAAACATAAAAATAAATGGGAAAACTATTCCGTTTGAACTAGATACAGGAGCAGGGGTATCTTTGATGTCAAAAAGTAACTTTTCCAAGTTTTTTCCAAAACACAGACCTCTAATGAATCCAGACATAATATTAAGAGATTTCAACAAAAATGAATTTGTTCCATTGGGTAAAACCATTGTTCAGGTTGGTTACGGTAACCAAACCAAATATCTTCCATTGTATATAGTCGATGGTAATAGAGATACGATATTTGGTAGGGAATGGCTGAGATCGATTAAAATAAATTGGTCAGACATAAATAACGTTCACGGAGCTGACTTGAATAGAGTTAAACACTCAAATCCCAAAGTACACGACATTTTAATGGAATTTAAATCCATATTTGAACCAAGAGTTGGAAGTTTCAAAGGGGGAGAAGCACTTCTTAACTTAAAGCCTGACACTACACCAGTTTTTAAAAAAGCTAGACCACTACCTTATGCTTTGTTACCAAAAGTTAGTGCAGAAATCGACAGACTAGAAAAAGAAGGTATAATTACAAAGGTGAATCAGAGTTCTTGGGCTACTCCAGTTGTACCGATTATGAAGGCAAATGGGAATATCAGACTGTGTGGAGACTACAAAGTAACCCTCAATCCCCATTTGGTAATACCAGAACACAACATGCCCCGCATTGATGATATTTTGGCCAGAATGGGTAATTCGACTAAATTTACAAAGATTGATATATCCGAAGCTTACCTACACATGCCAGTGAAAGAAGAATACAGAGAATTGCTCACAATCAATACACACAAAGGTCTATATCGAGTAAATCGTCTACCATTCGGAATTGCAAGTGCACCTGCTATTTGGCAATCAGCAATGGAAAATATTCTAGAAGGTATTGATGGTGTTGATGTTTTCTTTGACGATGTCAAAATAACAGCCCACAGTGAGGAAGAACATTTGAAAAGACTCCGTGCTGTATTAAATCGGTTCAAAGACAACGATTTACACATTAATGTTTCTAAATCTCAATTCCTTGTACCAGAGATTGACTTTCTTGGTTACCATGTCTCGTCAAAGGGAATAAGTAAAAGTAAACATATTACCGAAGCAATAAGAAACCTGAAGAGACCAAGTAATGTGAAAGAAGTTAGACAAATCCTTGGGTTGATAAGTTACTATCGAAAGTTTATTCCAAACTTAAGTGAAAAGATGCAAGCTATTATTAATCTCACAAGAGCTAATGTACCTTTTAATTGGACTGAAGAATGTGAACGAGATTTTCAATTGGTGAAGGAGGAAATGATGTCAGAGAATATACTATGCCATTTTGACCCACACTTACCACTCATTCTAGCAACAGATGCTAGTCAATCTGGAATTTCGGCAATTCTTTCTCATGTGTTTCCGGATGGAAACGAAAGACCTGTTGCATTTGCTTCCAAAACACTATCACAAACACAAAAACAGTATAGTGTCATACAAAAAGAAGCCCTGGCAATTTATTTTGGAGTTAAACACTTTTACCAATACCTTTATGGACGTCATTTCACCCTAGTTACAGACCACAAACCCCTGGTATCAATATTTGGACCGAAAAATGGAATACCACTTATGGCCGCAACAAGACTACAACATTATGCTATATTCCTTCAGGCATTTTCATTTGACATAAAGTATAAATCAACCAAAGACAATGTTAATGCTGATGCACTTTCCAGACTACCTAAAAATGTTGAAGAAGCTGCTGTTATTGACTCAGCCGATGTTCATGAAATAGAACAAATCTATACATTACCTGTCACAGCTGAAGAAATAGCAAAAAATACACAATCTGATCCAGATCTTAGAGATATTTATCAATCACTAATCAGAGGGGAGCCAATCCATCACCCGATGTCTTCTAACGAACAAGAATGGTCAATTCAGCTTGGATGCTTATTAAAAGGGAATCGTGTGGTGATTCCCAAACAACTTCGTCCAAGAATTTTGAAAGAACTTCATGAGGCTCATGTGGGTATAGTTCGCATGAAGGGACTAGCTCGTTCGTATGTTTGGTGGCCTAAAATTGATGCAGACATTGAGAATATGACCTTCAATTGTTTGGGATGTCAACGAGTACAACATGAAGCACCCAAAGCACCAGTTCACCACTGGGAATATCCTTCAAGGCCTATGCAAAGAGTTCATGTTGATTTTGCAGGACCATTTTATGGCCATTATTTTCTCCTAATTGTGGATGCCTACAGTAAATGGCCAGAGATTGTAACACTTACAACTATAAATTCACATAAAACCATTGAGGCTTTGCGGAAATTCTTTTGCTCTTTTGGAATCCCTGACATATTAGTGTCAGACAATGGAAGGCAATTTGTTTCGTTAGAGTTTGAAAAATTTCTTAAATCTAACGGAATTAGACACAAGAGATCAGCACCTTACCATCCTGCTACTAATGGCCAAGTAGAACGCTATGTACAAGACTTGAAAGATACTATCAGAGCCATGCACTTTGAGGAAGGCTCAATTGAGTTGAAATTACAGAGATATTTAATGGCCTATCGAAGAGCTCCACATAGTACTACAGGACAGTCTCCTTCACATCTCTTTATTGGACGTCAAATTCGATCAAGACTTGACTTATTGTATCCTGATTTGTCACAAAAAATGAACCAAAATTTTGACTCAAAATCATATTCTGACAGGCAAAAATCATTTAAAGCTCAAGACCCTGTTGCTTACCGCCTCTATGGGACCTGCAACAAATGGGGCTTTGGAAAGATCAATAGAAAAGAAGGACCAAGAAATTATGAAATATCCACAAGCAGTGGCACAATCAGACGTCATCAAGACCAAATTAGACGTTCAGGGCGAAACTTGTGTGAGTTTTCATTAAGGAATGAGCAAAATCAAGTATTCATACCAACAAATTTTGGAGGAGTCCATTTTGGAGGAGTCAGAGAGGAACCAACCGAAAACCACGCAACAAATGATCACAACATACCAACCGAAAACCACATAACAAATGATCACAACATACCAGATGTTCCAGAGGCCAACGATCACAACATACCAGATGTTCCAGAGGCACCAACTCCCGCTATTACAGTGAGACGTTCAAAAAGGACACATAAACCCGTGGATAGACTCAATTTATGAAGCTCACTTAAGAAGGGGAGGTGTTACATCCTAAATGTCTATCTTTACTTATTGATTATTTATTTTATAACTATTACCAGCTGGTTATAATGTTTACTTCTTCACTTTGTTTTTAATTTGTGTTGAATAAAGTTGGTTCAAATTGTACTTTTACAAATACATTTATTATTTGTTCTAATTACATACAGAACACCTAGGCTAGTGTTATTTTAATTGTTAATTTCTTATGTGTTTTAAGGAAATATTTGGCTAAGTGAAAATTCAATGAAATGGAAATTTGATTAGTCAAATCAAATCAAAGCTTTATTTTCCAATAGACTTTACAAATGCATGTGGAATGGTCAATGAAGGTATATGAAGTGTGCAGTTTTGTTGAAGTGTAGGGTACATATTTATGATTCTGAGAAGAACACATTTTTAAAGAAGTTGTGTTAACTTAGGCTGCACTTTACTTGACGTCCTACACTCATTCGAATGAAAATATCGATCGATATTTCGATTAATCGATTGCTTCATTCGATATATCGTTTGGTTAGTTAGGTAAGGTTAACCTAACCTAACTAACCAAACGATATATCGAATGAAAATATCGAATAAAAAAACAATCGAATGAGTGTAGGACGTCAAGTAAAGTGCAGCCTTAACTTATAAAAACTAGAGGATAATTAGATTGTTAGCCTATATTATTAAATTGTTTATTAAGGTACAACATTACAAGTAGCCTACAACTAGTACTTTGCTCTTGGTTTTGTTTTACTTAACTTATTGTGTCTGTAAAAACACTTCTAAATTAAGTGCATGGCATCTTTTTAATTACAGGCAGGGTATGCCTAAACACTCTTATAAAATGAGAAGGGTTTAACCTCACTTGTAACAAATTATTTAAACTAGGGTATTCCTATTAACCTGATGTCACAGTCATGGAATACCACTGAAACATGAAAGGCTAAACTAATCAGACTATAATAGATATTAATTAAATAATTTGAAAACTAAAAACTAATTTTTTAACACAGTGAATTGGGTTCACTCACAATTAAATGTTTGAAGTCCACTGTCCAGTTAGGAAGACCCTCTCAAACAATCCAACGGTATCAGTTCACTCGATGTTTAACACTCGAAGATATAAAAACTAAGAAGGTTTTCTTTGATAACACCAAACTTAAAACATAACCGACAAAAATTTTAAGATTTGAACACAACTGTCACTAACGTACATCGTCTTTACTCAAGAAAAACACCTGTTGCTTTGCTTGTATCCCTGACAACTGACAACAAACGAAAACTATAAAACTCCTGAACAATCTTCTGCTTGCAACCGCCAACCAATCATCGTGCTCCAATTTACAGGTTAGCCACCATGATCAGAAGGGTGAATGGATTATAGCTTATACAACCAATAGTGTATACCATCCATTGATTGAATGTACAATCACATTTGCTTGTATTATTATTGTTGTCCTCATAGATCGGTTGAAGGTAATTCTAAAGTATGTTGCTGTCAGCTGTATGTAGAGCGCCCCCTAAGATTTTGTCAAGCTCTTGGTTGTCCTCCTAAGATTTCGGCAAATAGAGACAGAGATTTTAGCTTTAAATAAATTTGAAAACTCGCGCAGGACCTTATTTCCCGCGTTATTATTGTCCATGTTGACATTTACCGAAATTCTGCTCCGTCCGTGCTCTAGGTTGTCCCCATAAAATGTCGGCAAGCTTTTGGAAGTCCCTCTAGGATTTCGGCAAGCTTTTGGTTGTCCCCCTAAGATTTTGGCAAGTTTCTGGTTGTCTCTCACGCTATTATTGGTCATGTTGCCATTTACCGAAATTCTGCTCCGTCCGTGCTTGTCCCCCTAGGATTTCGACCAGCTCTTGGTTGCTCGCTAAGATTTAGGCAAGCTCATGGTTGTCCCCCTAAAATTTTGGCAAGCTCTCGGTTATCCCCCTAAAATTTCAACAAGCTCATGGTTGTCCCCCTAAAATTTTGGCAAGCTCTCGGTTATCCCCCTAAAATTTCAACAGGCTCATGGTTGTCCCCCTAGGATTTCAACCAGCTCTTGGTTGCTCGCTAAGATTTCGGCAAAGTAATGGTTGTCCCCCTAAGATTTCGGTAAGCTCTTGGTTTGCCTCCCTAAGATTTCAACAAGATCTTGGTTGTCCCCTAAAATTCATTTTTAAATATATTTTTATTGTGAATATCTATTATTGTTATAATATTGTTATTTTGCTTAATTTAACAACTGTCATCAAGACGCAACAGAGAGCGGCAAGGTAATTTTCATGTGTGGACTGGACTGAAAATTTATAGAATGTACTTTATATATTTTTATTTTTATTGAACGTTGTCACATTAACTGGATGCTGCGGCAACGTAATTCCAAGTTTTAATTTCATTTGTATGTTATGTAATTATGGTGGAATAAATTATTATATCATTATTTCAATTTCGGCAAGATCTTTGTTGTCCCCCTAAGATTAAGTCAAGCTTTTGGTTGTCCCCCTAAAATTTTGGCAAGCTCTTGGTTGTCCCCCTACGATTTTGACAAGCTCTTGGTTGTCCCCCTAAGATTTAGTCGAGCTCTTGGTCGTTCTTCCAATATTTAAGCAAATAGATACTGAGATTTTAGCTTTAAATATTTTTGACGACATTTCTTTCAATTAAAACAAAATATTTGTTTGTGTTCTATCACAGAGAATAGGTCTGTGGTGTTATATAAGGGATACTTTGCTGATATTAATTTTAGTTTACTCTAAGCATTCTCCCATTTACTCCCGCAAGACGTTATTTCCCGCGCTCCCGCGCTTTTATTGTCCATCCATGTTGCCTAGTTGCCATTTGCCAAAATTGCAAAATTCTGCTTCGTCTAGTCCGTGCTTTTGGTTGTCTGCAGATTGTGGCAATTTAGAAACTGTTCTTTTAGCTTTATATAGTTTTAAAAACATTTATCTTTCAATTAGGCCTAGTATAAAATATTTGTTTGTTTCTGTTCATTATATAGGGGTTTAACCCTCCCATTTTTAACCATTAGTAAGATAAAGTTGCTTTCGTTCTTCGTTGTTCATTGTTCTTTTGTGTTCAAGTGAATACCATGTCTGTAAGTAAAGTATTAATCTTCTTAATATACTTAGGAAACTAGCGTATGTAGGCCTTAATAAGTAGAAGGCTCTAAGTTAGTAAGTTAGCTCTTTCTTTTTATATTTGATTGGCGATCAAAAGCATAAACTAATATACCGGTACATATTGCAGTACAGTATTGTCTTAAACATAGGCCAAGGCAAAACTTTGATATCCGACTCCATTATATTTTATTTTATTTTTACAGACATTCCATTTTGTTTGATCTAGTACTATTTGTTTACAAACATTATCTGTATCAATATATCAGTAAGTTATTATCGAACAACAAAAAATATTGATTTATGATATAACCCAGTTTCAAGAACAGTTTTAATCAATTACCTTTTTGGTTTTTGTTGCCATGATGTTCTTGTTGATTTTTGATAACTGATGCGCATTTCGCTACAGGTTGTGGCATCTTCAGAGTTCACTATCCTACACTTGCATTCTAATATAGGCCTATACACAGTTTATATACACAAAGTTTGAGTCTAACAACGGTCCCAGCACAAGTAAACGGGACTCCCTATTTTGTTGACCCGGGTCAACAAATTCAATATATTAAGAAAAAAAAACACTTGGAATGTAGATATTTACATGAAACTTGGAACGAAGGTATATAAACATGTTTTCTACTCGTATGTAAAATTTGGTAACGATAAAAAAATATTTATATATTTTATTAACTAAAAACCGCCCAAAATAGCTAATTTTATTTTGTTGACCCGGGTCAATCGCCTAAAAAAGGTACTTAGAATTAAACTATATACATGAAACTTGTAACGAAGGTATGTCCACATGTATTCTACACGTATGTAAAATTTGGTAACAATTAAAAAATAGTTACCTATTTTATTAACTAAAAACCGCCCAAAATAGCTCATTTTATTTTGTTGACCCGGGTCAATCACCAATAAAAGGTACTTAGAATTAAACTATATACATGAAACTTGGAACGAAGGTATATCCACATGTATTCTAAACGTATGTGACATTTGGTAACGATAAAAATTTATTTACCTATTTTATTAACTAAAAACCGCCCAAAACTGCTGATTTTATTTTGTTGACCCGGGTCAATCGCCAATAAAAGGTACTTAGAATTAAACTATATACATGAAACTTGGAACGAAGGTATATCCATATGTATTCTACACGTATGTTAAATTTGGTGACGATTAAGACATATTTACCTATTTTATTAACAAAAAACCGCCCAAAATAGTTAATTTTATTTTGTTGACCCGAGTCAATCGCCTAAAAAAGGTACTTAGAATTAAATTATATACATGAAACTTGGAACGAAGTTATATCCACATGTATTCTACACGTATGTTAAATTTGGTAACGATTAAAACATATTTACCTATTTTAATAACAAAAAACTGCCGCAAAAAGCTAATTTAATTTTGTTGACCCGGGTCAATCACCAATAAAAGGTACTTAGAATTAAACTATATACATGAAACTTGGAAAGAAGGTATATCTACATGTATTCTACACGTATGTGACATTTGGTAACGATAAAAATTTATTTACCTATTTTACTAACTAAAAACCGCCCAAAACTGCTAATTTTATTTTGTTGACCCGGGTCAATCGCCTAAAAAAGGTACTTAGAATTAAACTATATACATGAAACTTGGAACAAAGGTATATCCACATGTATTCTACACGTATGTTAAATTTGGTAACAATTAACAAATAGTTACCTATTTTAATAACTAAAAACCGCCCAAAATAGCTCATTTTATTTTGTTGACCCGGGTCAATCACCAATAAAAGGTACTTAGAATTAAAATATATACATGAAACTTGGAACGAAGGTATATCCACATGTATTCTACATGTATGTGACATTTGGTAACGATAAAAATTTATTTACCTATTTTATTAACTAAAAACCGCCCAAAACTGCTTATTTTATTTTATTGACCCGGGTCAACAAAATAAAATTAGCAGTTTTGGGCGGTTTTTAGTTAATAAAATAGGTAAATAAATTTTTATCGTTACCAAATGTCACATACCTGTAGAATACATGTAGATATACCTTCTTTCCAAGTTTCATATATATAGTTTAATTCTAAGTACCTTTTATTGGTGATTGACCCGGGTCAACAAAATGAAATTAGCTTTTTGCGGCAGTTTTTTGTTAATAAAATAGGTAAATATGTTTTAATCGTCACCAAATTTAACATACTTGTAGAATACATGTGGATATAACTTCGTTCCAAGTTTCATGTATATAATTTAGTTCTAAGTACCTTTTATTGGCGATTGACCCGGGTCAACAAAATAAAATTAGCAGTTTTGGGCGGTTTTTAGTTAATAAAATAGGTAAATAAATTTTTATCGTTACCAAATGTCACATACGTGTAGAATACATGTAGATATACCTTCTTTTCAAGTTTCATGTATATAGTTTAATTCTAAGTACCTTTTATTGGTGATTGACCCGGGTCAACAAAATGAAATTAGCTTTTTACGGCAGTTTTTTGTTAATAAAGTAGGTAAATATTTTTTAATCGTTACCAAATTTAACATACGTGTAGAATACATGTGGATATACCTTCGTTCCAAGTTTCATATACATATCTACATTCCAAGTGGTTTTTTTTCAAAATATATTGAATTTGTTGACCCGGGTCAACAAAATAGTCAGTCCCCAAGTAAACACCCCGCGCTCGCAACACACGCCCGCCGCGCCGCGAGTGTAAACAAACGCTACGATGTGAACCGGTACAGTGACTCTCGTGTATATAAACTGTGTATATATTAGAATGTAAGTGTAGGATAGTGAACTCTGAAGATGCCACAACCTGTAGCGAAATGCGCATCAGTTATCAAAAATCAACAAGAACATCATGGCAACAAAAACCAAAAAGGTAATTGAAAAAAATATTGATTTGATTGAAAGCCAAACTTTGCCTAACAAAAACCTAAACTTTTTGTATCAATTGTAACAATCGATAATAGGCTACGATAGGGTCTAATACCATAGTTTTGCTATTAATTCATGCTTAGTTACAGCATTGGTTTTTTACAGCATTGATCATAGGGACACTTAACAAACCACACTGACTTAATAAAACCAACATTTTCAGTCACACTATCCTTCCAGTAGAACCCTAATTAGACCCATAGGGAATAAATCCAAGATAGGTACCGGTACATAAAATGTTTCTAATTTATTCCTCTAGCATTGGATTTTTACAGCATTGATCTTAGGCTAGGGACACTTTACAAACCACACTGACTTAATAAAACCAACATTTTCAGTCACACTATCCTTCCAGTAGAACCCTCATTGGACCCATAGGGAATAAATCCAAGATAGGTACCGGTACATAAAACGTTTCTAATTTATTCCTCTATATTGAAATTTTAAAATATTCAAAACACAATTATTTTTTAGGTAGTTTATGATTAAAAAAAACAAAAGAACTTACGGATAATACGGCCATAAACAGGTTTTGCAATACCGGTAGGCCTAATGGATTTGACGAAGTTACAAATTTTGGCATCAAGAAATCCACATATACAGTAACTTACTACACTTTTTATTTAAGGTTTCCTATGCCATTTGAAAATAATTAGGCTTAATGATAAAGTTATTTGACAAAATGATAGCCTATAATAAAAGTTACCGGTAACATATGTTTTACCACTGCTACTATTAATAGACGCTCTGCCAATCCACAAACACGTTTAAAAGGGACTGGAATTTTTATTGTTTTGAGAACAAGTTATCAAGGTTTTTAAATAGCCTACCTAAGTAATATTCACACCACAAAAAAGGAAAGTTCTTTCCCGCGACAGTGGTAGCACCCATTCCTTTTTGTAGAAAATTGGTTATCACTTGTGTGATTTTTTTAAACATACCTGGTTTGGCAGTTTTGTGACGTGTGCATGGTGATTTAGGTTAATTAATTAACCATACAATGATTTAGGCTAAGTTAAATATTACCATATCTAAATATATTTCTATATTAACTACACACCAAAAGCAGCTCACAAACTTTTTAAACCATCAGAGGTCACACTGTGTATAGTCCTCGCCACCCTAACTTGAGGCAGCCCAAGGCTACACTAGATATACGGCGTGCGGCCTTGGGCTCCCTCAAGTTAGGGTGGCGAGGACTATAGACCTTATCTGTGGTCTTGTGCCATCTGGTATAGAATAAATTAAGTTGAACTTGTGTACTTACCGGTATTCTAATCTTAATTGTATGTTTCTATTTTATTATATTTTGTATTGCAGAGTAATCGCAGCTCCCCCAGATCAAGGTCTTCCCCTCAGGGCAGCCGACGTGAGGATGCTGTCACATCCCCACCTCGTGAACTTGAGGAACCTTTTGAAGACGAGAGTGAATTTCTCGGAGGTGGTCCACTCAGCGTTGGGCCTGAAGAAGAAGAAGATGGAGAGGAACTGTTTGGAGACAATATGGAGGCGTGAGTAGGCAAAACAATAGACCATATCAAGTGGGCAAGTTAAAATACCCCTGGTTTCCAACCCACAGTAAAATAATTATATCTAAAATGACTTACTTCTTGTTTGGATGAATAAATCTAAAAAATATACTCTGTTATACCTGTGACAAAACTAAAAACGACAAAGAAAACAACCTCTGGTGCAAAACTATTAGATGTCTCTTCCAATGAGAAATCTAATTGGACACAACACAAACGTTGTGAAACTTGTTCTAAAATGGCAGCAAAATCTCCTCAGATACCTACCTATATATTTTTTTAACATCAATCTATCTTAAAACTTGAAATTTCAAGGTTTTTTTATCAAGCAGAGGACTTAAACTGGAATGTTTTATATAGGCTAATGGTTAATTAAACCGATTTTTCCTAGGTGACCAGGATTTTAAAACCCACTTGAACATGTGTTGCAAATTATGAATGTTTATATTTTACACGTCTAGTGGTCACCAAGGACCGGCCGCCGGACCTGCACCCAGGCTGGCCCGGTCACCTTTGCCCGGCCAGGTCCCGCTGAAATGAATCACTCATCGTGGCGCAACCTTGTGGAAAGGCCTGGAGTTTTTGCGTATGCGTTGCTGTTGCTACAATTCATAACCTATACTGTGTGTGTTTTGCCCGCTGTTCCCGCGGACCGCTGCCGGTCTCCCGAGACCGGTAAATTCCCACTTGCACAATTTATTGACTTTGGACATTTATTGACGTATTTCTTTTGTGTTTTTGCTTTTTATACGACACAACAATATATTTTATACTTGGTTTATTATTTTAGTTTATGTGCCTTTTAATAATGGTGGACTCTTCAATACCTAATTGTTATCAGCAGTTCCATGATTTACTGTTATTGAAATTAACAATGTTTGGGAGGGAGGAACATTGCTGTAATTGTAAATATTAGTTATAGTGCTATTTCACATTTTTAGTGTGAAAAACAGTGTTTGTGGGACCAAAAATGGAGTATTTTCATCATGGTACCCACAAACGTCATTGCGCGGGCTGGGCCAGTCATCAGTGACCGGCGATTTTAGACACCATTTTTATTGAAAAAAACTGCTCAAAACACTATTTCCACATCTCACTCCTGGTAACAAAAAATTTTTTTTCAGGGCCTGGGGAAGGACTTAGGTCTATTGATATATTTAGCGCACTCAGTGTGTTAAAACATAAGTCAATCTAATTGAAATGTGCAAAACTTTAATTCTCCTTCTACCGGTACCCAAATTCAAATCGTACAAAAATACAGGACCAATAGCGTACCAAACACACTTTACAGTTAAAATAATGGTTCACAACCCTTTAAAAACACAATTTTGCTAAATCTTTCAAAAAATTGCCGTTATTGATAGAAGTTTTCTTGCAGGGATTATCGTCCCATGCCAGCGTTGGACCGATATGACCGAGACGCTCTTGATGATGATGAGTACAGTGAGATTTCGCAAGGAGACCGTGTTGCTGCTGAGGCAGCCATGAGGCGTCGTGACCGGGACGAACAAGTTAGACGTGGAGATGTTGATCTGTTGTATGGTATGTTGACTACCTGATTAACTCTAAACTTACTTTTTTACTGTTCACATTTAATTAACTAATACATTTTATGATCACTTGTGTTCTTATTAAAAAAGTATTTACCAAAAAGTAGAATTGAGTTGAAATTGTAGTGTTTAAAGATTTTTTTCAACTGTAATTGTAATAAATTGTTAGCAAAGAAGAAATCAAAGGTTAATGTTGATCGATGGTTGTCCTAACACAGTCCTGTAGTATCTAAAATAAAGCTTACTTTTGTAGAACCCAGCGATGATGATGAAGCTCCGAGACGGAAAAGAAGGAGAGCGGCAGAGAAAGCTGCGATGGGAGATATTGAGGAAGAAGAGGTTTGTTGAGCTTTATATACAAAGTAGTTTGGCCTACCTACTATATAGGCCTGTCAAGGAACAAGATCCATAAAACTTGAGTTTGAACTCAAGTAGCCTATCTCTGAGATGAATCATTTTATTGTGTAGGAAAGAATTAATCAATTTCACTCTGTGAATAAGTAAGCAAACCAACAAAAGAATTCTGTTTAACAGAAACATGTCAATAAGGGTAAAAGGCCCTAAAATTACAGGGTTTTTAGAGTTATGCACTAACGTTGGAAGTTTGAACTTGAATTGTAAAGAACCACTTCACCAATTTTTCTAGAATTTGTACGGCTTACTCATATTTTTATTGTTAACATAATCATATACTTTGAGAATTTAATTTATAGTTTTTTATTTGATTATTGTAGCCTACAAAATCATATTAAGGCGTTAAAAGTTTATTTTAAAATATGGATATGCCTATCATTACACGAGAAATATAAACGATACTTAGTAGATTTATGAAACACAGATGTTTTACTACCAATTTATATTCGTTAACAAACATTTTTGTGTAACTGGCAGCGGGCTGTCTTGCCTTTGTACATTAGCCTAGTTTCCTTTCCTGTTGGGCAATAAGTTTACCACAAATTTAATCTTCACCAAAATGGAATTTTTTGTATAATATTTATGGTAAGTACTAGCACATATTCGTTTTAATGTACTTAGTTGATCTGTTGGAGATCAATGTGTGAAGCAATATAGGGTAAACATTGTCATGCTCATCGCAGATGATTGAGAGTATCGAGCATCTAGAAGACACCAAGGGCCACAGTGTCAAAGAGTGGGTATCTATGTTGGGCCCTCGCACGGAGATTGCCAACAGATTCAAGAACTTCCTCCGCAACCATGTCAACTCCAAGGGTGTCTACGTTTACAAGGTAAGTCGAGTCTGTATTCAGTCTCTTGTTTTTGAAACGTCTCATTAGCATTGCTGTAAGCTGTGTACATAAAGTTTTACAAATAAGTACAGTCATGGTTAATGTTATGATCTTTCTGACTATGGATTTCAATATATTTCTAAAGGTTTTCTAGAAATCTGATTGAGTGAGTGTTAACATTTGTACAAAGTATTTGCCAAGTATGTGGACAATTAATCTAGCAGTCGAGTTTTTTTAGCTAAGAAACAGTTCAACTACTTTACTTTGGAAAAAGTTTTTAGTTCAAGCCACTTAAGAAATTAAATGATAAATAATAATTTGAGATTTAAAATATTCAGCTGTTGTAGAGAGCCCCCTTCAGAGAGTATATAAGCCCAGCCCAGTCATTAAAAAATTAAATTAGATTTTTTTTTTTGTCAAAATCAATGGAAGTTGTTGTATAGGATAATCCAATATTGTTTTTAGTACCTATTTTTCAGGCGTCTGAAAGAGAAAGAGTCCAAACTGATACCAGAAACACAAAAAATAACACTACATAGGCCTACACAAAAATGTTTTCTTGTCACAAGGTTTTTTTTTTTTAACCAAGGAAGGGAAAGTTTTATTCAGGTCACAATCTTTTATATTTTTTCCCTAATTCCCTGAACTTTAATTTTGTCAATTTTAAGCTAGCTGGACTATCCCTTAAAACTCCTGTATATGCCACCTTTAATTTATTGAAGCGAATCTTCTTACCTTAAAGCCTTGGGTTATACATAGGCTTATCATGATTATACAGAAAATGATAAATTATAACAATTTTCCATAACATATTTTTAGGGATGGACGAGATTGGATTTTTAGTTCGAGACGAGACGAGACTTTTATTTCTCATAAAATTTCGAGACGAGATCGAGACGGGATTTCCCTTCTCATACACAACGGGAAATGCACGTTCAAAATTTTTACCTGAGTTTGTAACATTGTTAGATGACTGTTTAAATACAAAAATAATGATAATAGGCAAGAATATTTACAATCTTTTATTAAAAACCATCAGCATAACATTTTTTTATTAATCACGCCTAACTTATTAAAAATGCCTACGATTAGGAAACATAGTGATATCAGTTAGGATAGAGTTCAACTTATCCTAAAATAAAATAAATCATAAAATAAAAGCAATATTAATTTTTATAAAATAGTTAGGTACTTGTTTTGACTTTTTATAGTAATAAAACATTCCTCACACGGCTTACACTTAACAAAACTTCTCAAATGTTATTAAAGTAATATTATTAAAATAATTAAAGTAATATTTACATTTAAAGAATTAATTAAATAAGAACGCCTCCGCAAAGGAAACGCAACTACAACACGCTCCTAAAAAGAAATCTCGTCTCGTGTAACGAGATTTAAAATTTCCCGAAATTTCGAGACTTGACCATCCCTACATATTTTAATGTTTTAGGACAAGATCAGGCGCATGTGTGAGAACAACCATTCCAGTTTTGAGGTAGAATTCCCAGTTTTGGCCAGCAAAGAAAACGTCCTTGCGTACTTCCTGCCAGAAGCCCCTATTGAAATGATACAGATTTTCGATACAGTTGCTAAGGAGTTGGTGTTGACCATTTATCCAAGTTATGAACGTGTGACGAGTGAAATTCACGTTAGGATCTCTGAACTGCCTCTGATTGAGGAACTGAGAACATTCAGGTAGAGTGAGGATGTGATTAGAATCCGTTCACAAAATTTAGGCGGTTTTAGGGTAAGATATCTATCCTCTTCACTTGATCCTACCATTAAAACAATAGTGCAACAGCTGAGTTTTGCCAAAACGTTGATCAGCTGCAACATACATGTTGTGGGGGAACTTCCCCTGAAACCGCCTACATTTTGTGAACGGACTATAACAGTTAGTTTACCAGTATCTTCAGAAGTGTTTAGTACGAATTGAAACGATACCAAAACCGAACTTCCTCTCTAAAACTTGCTCCCCTTTTTATATTGAAATCCAGAGCTAACTTGTACATAGGCAAACTGGCAACGCTATCAAAAGGGAAGATCAGACATCACAACAAAAGCTGTTTGTAAACACTGCTAACCAACTCCTCTTGAATATTGAACTTCTCTTAAAAACATGCAATACAGGTCATAATTTTGATGTGTTGACTTTTTTGTAGTTTTTTTTTTCTGATGAATCCATATAAATGCAAAATGTTTTGTTGAAAATAGTTCTAGATGTTCATGCTGTGACCTTTCATAAAATCTAAAATTTGTTAGGACTACAGATCCAACCTTTATCTACGACTCCCAGTTATTTTTTGAATCAGTATTAGTCTGCAAAGATAATTGTTACAAACTCACCATTACTCTGTCACTCAGTAAGTCATGATTTCACAGAAAGATACATCTGAACCAGTTAGTGCGGACGACAGGTGTGGTGACAGCTACTACTGGCGTGTTACCGCAACTGTCTGTGGTCAAGTACGACTGTAACAAGTGCGGCTACATCATGGGACCGTTTGTCCAATCACAGAACAGCGAGGTCAAACCTGGGTCTTGCCCCGAGTGTCAGAGCACTGGCCCGTTCATGGTGAGTAAACATCCATCCATATGGACCAGATGTGGCAAATGTTTTGTTAAAATTAAACATGAAAGAGCCATTCGCGCAGTGTGCTGCGCCCAAAATTATATTTTTCTCTACGTTTTTTTACTTTAAGATAGTTGATTAGTTGATTTTATGACATAACAAATAATTGTAAATTATTTGTCCTTTTAGTTTGACTTGGTTAAAAATTTGGTGTATAATTTGAGAAAAATCAGTAATTCATATCAGCATACTCTGTTAGTGGCGCACTATTTTGATGGGCAGCAAAAAAAATATTGCAAATGTCTATATTATTTATGTAAACTAATCTCGTTTATCTAATATTATAATCAATACTGTTTAGATCAACATGGAACAAACCGTTTACCGAAACTACCAGAAGATCACGCTGCAAGAATCCCCCGGCCGCATACCAGCTGGTCGGATACCTCGCTCCAAGGATTGTATAATGTTGGCAGACCTGTGTGACAGGTGTAAACCCGGAGATGAGATTGATGTCACTGGTACATATACCAACAGGTAAGTTGTTGAAATACTTGGCCAACTGTTGGAGTTTGGACCAAATGCCTTTCCTAGCTTACAAATATTAATGTAGTAAGACTAGTGTTTCTTATGTGTAATCTTATGGAACCTGTTATTAATGCACCATATTTGGCAAATTTTAGATTGTGTCAATTAGAATGGCGAGCGGGTTGCAAATTCACTCGTTGCCGTTGCTTGTTTATTGTGTTATCTCAATAACTAATTAGTGGTGTATTAATAATTTAATACCTCTAGCATCTAGTGTGACTCTAAATGTTGTTGAAAGGCTATCCCTTGTCCCTCCCTACTCGCTATCCTAATTGATACTCACTACGAATTGCTTGTTTGTAGTGAATTAATACCAATTGAAACCAATGTTTGAGAATTCTTTGCTGTAGCCCTATAGATGAAAACATGTTAATGAACAGTCTTAATTAGGGCTAGAAGTTTTTCTAAGAGATTTTAGTCAGGAAAGTTCAGCTGGGTTACCTGAGAAATGATTAGGGAGAGGATTGAAGGTACTCGTACTCAATAATATGACATACGAATACGATAATACTGATATTTCATACTAGTATAGAACTTGTCCAGAAATTAAACACGAAATGGAAGAGAGACAAAAGGATGCTAGTTTGTATGTCAGCTTATGTTAGAAGTAAAGCTATTCTTTATAAGCCATGTACTTTTCCTTTAGTCAGGACTAGGTATAAATCTGTAATATGATTGAAATTTTAATTTTGAGTGATTTGTTTTTCATTCTGAGATTCTAATTAATGCGGCCGTAGTTTACCGCTGTTTTATTTGTTCAAAATGTTTTTTTTTTCTGTACTATTTCGATGAAAGTAAATCAATTTGTTTTTATTTCCAGCTACGACGGATCTCTTAACACTGAAAACGGATTCCCGGTTTTTGCCACGGTCATTCTTGCCAACCACCTTATTGTGAAAGACTGTAAACAAATTGTGGAGTCGCTGACAGATGAAGATGTATCCACGATTATGAAGCTTTCTAAAGATCACAGGATTGGGGAGCGAATTGTCAACAGCATTGCACCATCCATCTTCGGCCATAATTACATAAAACGGGCACTGGCGCTTGCTCTTTTTGGTGGAGAATCCAAAAATCCAGGTACACATTTTATTGAGTGAACGATTCTTGGTGGCGATGTAATCTTTTTTCAGGAAGTGTTGTTTATGTCAAATTAGACCCATGATGTTCCCATCCTGTTGGGAACATCTATTTATTGCTTAGAACTAGTTGACAATAAAATTGAAGAGAAGTTATCAGTAGTGTAGCATATTAAAACCGCAAATGATTGCTTTAAAAAAATAAGTGAACTGTATTTGTTATGAATGTTAAATTTAATTTGGGTACAAAATTACAAGGACTTTTGTTCATTTTGACACAGTTTTTCTATTACCTCAATGTTTAATGCACATTCTAGAAGTCTTGAAGGAAGATCCTGTAGAATTGTCTATGGCCTTACGTTTCACGTAGTCCCACTAAAAACATATTTTCAATGTTACAGTTTCCAGAGTTCAATTTGTACTCACACAATTTAGTGCCATTGTGTACACTATTGAATTTAACCCTCCGAGCGTCACTTGTCGAAAAATCGACTCACGACACACTTTGTGTAGTGTCACTTGTCGATTTTTCGACACACGAACATCGTTTACGGCGAAGGCTCTATGACTGACTGAATCGGATTGAACTGGATCGAGTTAGGTATCGTTCTTTTTGTTAGATTCAGAGCTTTCTCCGGAGGTCTGTCTCTAAGCGCTATTCATTTTAGTTCCGAAAATATTGTAGCAGACAGCTGACGTGCGTATTTGTAAACAGCTTTGTTAACCTCGGACCGATGACTGATGTGTTTTATTACGTTTATCATTGTTTTAGTGTTAAAAATCAAAAGTAGTGATATACGTGGTGCATTATAAGAAGATTTAAGTGATTTTGAAGGGCTGGTTGATGATCCTGAAGAAGTAGGTAGTGATATTGATGTAAATTATCAGCCAGATTCCTAGCTATGGTTAGGCTATGCATTCTTAGCTAAACGCTATGTACTGAAATCTGTTTTTTGCCCATAACTTATTTATTTGCAAATCTACTTCCTTATATTATTATATATTTGTAATCCTCATAAAATTTAGAACAAAGTGGCTATTTTCAAATATTTATAGGCCTATAATTTATACAATTTCATTGAGCGCAAACTTATTTTTTTTTTTTGAAAATTTTCCAAAATATTTTTTTTTACCTAAAAAATTGTTCTGAAACAAATGTTCCTTATGTTTTATGTATAATATTGAAGCTCATGATTTTCCAAACAAAATGGTATATAGAACAGTAGAATTAACATTGTTTTAGGCTTCTCAGATCCGTTTTAATAAAACCTTGCAAATGCGCCAAAAATAGGCGGACACTAAGGCCTAAACTATGGACACTCGGAGGGTTAAAGGTTTTAATTAATTAGAACAATAAGAAAGGAAATGTAAAATAAAATGAATAAAAAGAGAGAATATCACGGAAAAATGAACAATGATAAAATAATGATGATATGTGAGGGGAAGCAAATGCACGTGATAATTAGCAATGTTAACATGTTTACTGTATATGCATATGGGGTTTGAACAGTTTTTTTTGTTATGCCAGTGGTATTTTACAAGTGTTCAACATGAGAATACATTTTTTGTGGTTGATCCGGGTATTGCATCCGTCTCTCGTGCACCAAAGTATAAGGCGCTAACCACTAGGCTAGCAACACACCTCTCTCTCTCTCTCTCTATCACATCAGCTGGAGACTAAACAAGTAGACTCCTCTATATTCAACCTAGCTGTATAATCAATTCAATACCATAGGTGACATCAAGATATCCGACCGTCGACCTCATCTAACCTTTAACCACACTTTTGTGTGTTCCTGTCCACACACCTGGACTTCAGTTATTGAACATCTGTGTTTCCTTTTTCACTATCAAGACTGTTATCACATTAGACATTGTTCCCTGTAAAAATAATTCAATAACCATACTCTTGTATTTACTCTTCTTAGATATAGGCTACAACCTTATTTCAAGTTTTGTCCATGGCGCTAACGCAACAAAAGTAAAGCACTAACGTGCATCCAATCTTACTTGGACTTTAGAACAATATTAATGGGTGTGCCTCAGGGATCAGTCCTTGGACCTCTTTATTTATTATTGCTGTGAACGATTTTGCTTCAAATATTCCTTGTACCACAGTGTTATATGCAGATGATACCACACTTCTTAACAGTAAAAAACACCTAGATCTAATAAGAACTGAGAACCAAGCCTTAGAAATAGCAATGGAATGGTTTCATTCTAATCTTTTAATTGTTAACGGGAAAAAGACTGAAAAAATGATCTTTTCTTTGGACTTTTCTTTTTATAAAGATGTGAAACCTGTTAAGTTGTTAGGTATTTATCTTGATAGTAGGTTAAGTTGGGAAACTCATGTCAAGCAGTTGTGTAGAAAACTGTCTAGAGTAATTCACCTTCTTAGAAAGTTGAAAGATTGTGTAACCAAAAACATGCTGATAACTGCCTATTATGCTTTTTTTCATTCTCACTTAAAGTATGGCATAACTTTATGGGGCAACTCGTGTAGTGCATTAGAAGCTTTTAAGTGGCAAAAAAGAGCTGTAAGAGTCATTAAAAATGTTTCAGATAGGGAGTCATGTGTTCCTTTATTCAGCTTAAATAATGACTCTTCCAAATTTGTACATTTTTTGCTGCCTGATGGATGTTAAGAATTCTATGTGTAAATTGTCTGTTAGAAAAGAAATATATGACTATCAAACGAGGAAAAACTATCTTCTTAACTTAATCTCTGTACGGTTAGAAAAAACAAGAAACAGTCATGTTTATATGAAAATTAAATTATGTGTAGAAAACATGTGGAATACAACTTCAAAACAGTTTGAAAATAAGATTAAAATATGGCTAAGAGAACATATTTTTTATACTGTTGATGAATTTTTAGCTTGTGACATTAGCACTTTAAGAATTTAAATTAGGTAATTGTTTAGATTTTATATTAATTGTTTGTTATGTCATTCCCTGGTGTTTTTATATTTTGTTATTGTTTTTATCTATAAATATTCTATTTTTCAATGTACCTTTTACTTAGAATAGGCTATTTACATACATTATATGCTTGTGACTTTGTCAATTGCACACATGTGTTTAAAGACAATAAAAATCTTTGACTTTGACTTAACACAAAGGCCTTGATGTGCAGGAGAGAAGCACAAACTGAGAGGGGACATCAACGTGCTGCTGTGTGGTGACCCTGGTACAGCCAAGTCTCAGTTCCTCAAGTTTGTAGAGAAGATGGCGCCACGAGCCGTGTTCACAACAGGCCAGGGCGCGTCGGCCGTCGGTCTCACTGCGTACGTCAAGCGCAGCCCGGCCAGCAAGGAGTGGACTCTGGAGGCTGGTGCGTTGGTACTGGCCGACCAAGGAGTATGCCTCATTGACGAGTTTGATAAGGTAAAATTATGGCTTCCTATCGTAAGGAATTTCCAATAATCTTACTTTTTTCAATACATAATAGGTATTTTTTACGTATTTTTGTAAGGAAACACTGTGAACCGTGGTTCTATTACTATTATTGCATAAAATTGTAAAAATTGAAACATTTGTCTCATTGAATGATTTCCCCTTTTTACAGATGAATGACCAAGACCGAACATCAATCCACGAGGCCATGGAACAGCAGAGTATCTCCATTTCTAAGGCAGGCATTGTGACGTCACTGCAGGCAAGATGTTCTGTCATTGCTGCAGCCAACCCCATCGGCGGCCGATACGACCCTGGCATGACTTTTGCTGAAAATGTACGTTGTCAATTCAAGATTTTGGCTCTGAGTCTCTTAGTGGTATAACTTAAGATTAAATATGTTTCTAAAAGTCACATAGCTGATTAAAGAGGTTTATTTCAGAAAGGAACAGAGTTCAGCTTTATAAATTCATCTGTTTCCTTCTTTAGCTTATATTGTTTGGCTTTTTATTACAATATCTCCAGTAATCCATAATTTCAAATGATTCAACAGTGTCCTTATCACTTGTCTCTAATCGAGTCTTCTATGTAACCATTCCCTAAAATATTTCATTTACAGGTAAACCTGTCAGAACCGATCATGTCTCGTTTTGACATCCTGTGCGTGGTGAGAGACGAGGTCGACCCGATGAAGGACCAACATTTGGCCAGGTTTGTGGTAGACTCTCACATCCGTCATCATCCGAGCCACGCTGGCAACCAGACTCTCTCCCAGGACTCAACCACCGACAGCAACACCATTCCTCAGCAGATTCTGAAGAAGTATATTGTCTACGCTCGACAGAACGTCCACCCCAAGCTGTTTCAGATGGACCAGGACAAGATTGCCAAGATGTACAGCCAGCTACGGCAGGAGTCGTTGGTATGTGTGCTCTAGGCTTCTAGGCCTGTAGAGGCTTTTAAAAATCTATATTGTGTATTAAAATATCGATTTGGTGTCCAGTTTTCAATGTTTTTATACAAAGTAGTGTTTGTACAGAGTGGTGGTGTTTTGAAATTTTCATCAGACTGACAGAATCCACTTCTAATGGAGTTATTGAATTATGTGATACATTTTCAAATTCATGCTATGTCATATTTATTTATTTATTGTACTTACAGAATCTCATTACATCATAAAATGACAGGACATTTGTCAATAAAGTATTTTAAAACTATACTTAACGCTAAAGCAATATTAAAAATCAAAACAAAAGAATTTTAATATTCAAACCTCCCAATTTCCACTAAAAAATCTTTTTATGGATAAAATGTATTTTGTTCTGCAAACAGTCTGAACATTTTCGTTTAATTTCTTTGGATTGGCTATGTTTGTGATCAGGATCTAACTTTATACAATTTTGGTCCAAAATGTTTAGGTGATGCTGCAAATAAGTGGGTTTAATTAAGTTCTATTTGATCCAACAAAAAAGAGCACTTTTATGCCAATGAAATGTGCAGAGTTTAGTTTTCCTCATACAACCCATTGAAAAGTTGAGAGGAAGGGAGCACACACACATTTTCCTCATATAACCCATTGAAAAGTTGAGAGGTAGGAAGTACACACACATTTTCCTCATTTAACCCATTGAAAATTTGAGAGGAAGGAAGTACACACACATTTTCCTCATAACCCATTGAAAAGTTAAAAGGAAGGAAGTATACATTCACTTTCCTAACACTGTAGAGTTGATGGCGTAACACATGTGGTTTGTAGCAAGAAGTGGAGGGGGGAACAGGAAGAGTGTGATGGTAGAGTCGAGAGTTTGGTAAATATTGCTAGTTTCTGTTACATTACATTGTCCGACAGGTGACTGGAAGTCTGCCCATCACGGTGAGACACATTGAGAGCATGATCCGCATGGCGGAGGCCCACGCCAAGATGCACCTGCGGGACTACGTACAGGAGGACGACGTCAACATGGCCATCCGCATGATGTTGGAGAGCTTTGTGGAGACCCAGAAGTACAGCGTCATGAAGACCATGAGAAACGTACGTTACTGCTTGTTTGATGTTTTAAAAATAAATTTATTAGATTATCTGGTGGGATGAAGATCCACAAAGAGTTATGACAATATGGATCAGATTATCTGATCAATCTACCAGAGACTTATTTTTAACCGTTGAGGAATATTTTTCAGATCACTTGTTAGCCTATGTTTTCTCGGTAATATCAGAAGTCAAAGTACCTCAGATGTGTCTTTTTTAAATTCTACTTGAACTCTTTGACTCAATAAAATCGTAACCCACTACATCTTACATACATTTAAAATGTAAGAGTTACTTAAGAACAGACTGCTACCCTGTTTCACCTCCAAAACTGAATACAGTTTAGTGTGTCAATTCCTCTGATATACATTTCTATACAAACATCCAGTATGACTGCTGAGTGAACGTGTATTTGCTTGTTACAGACATTCCAGAAATACCTATCATTCAAGAAGGATACAACGGAGCTGTTGTATTACATCCTGAGACAGATGACGTTGGACCAGATCGCCTACATCAGAGGCATTCATGGAGTCGATGTCAATGTTATCGAGATACACGAGAAAGACTTCTTGGACAAGGTATGTATATGTTTTCAAGTGAGCTTTGGTAATGTCCTTTGAATCAGGGCCGTAATCTAGTAGTAAATGGATTTATGGTACTGCACAAGTTTCTGGTTGTGTTTGGAAAATTATATTTGTTTAAATTTTCTTGTTTTCAACAATTAAAAATTACAGACGATAACCTAAGTGCAATTGGTTGATTATCACGGGTATCTTCTATAAAGCCAAAAGTACCCATGAACTTTTGAGAAAACTACAAGTCACACCCCCATGAACCCATATACTTAAAATGTTCGTCATGACAAGAAACCTTGCGCAAAACTATCCATTATGTCATAAATTGCCCTTTAAGGTTGTAATTCCTTTCTAAAGGGAACTTTTTATATACAGTACCTAATGTTAAAAATACCTCGGCTGACCTTATTTGTTTGTTATTCTTTCGATTTATTACCTTATTAAAATCAGTTGTGATTATTTGTTTCTTTTACTGTATTTTGTTTATTTCAGGTTAACTTAATCAATCAATAGTTTTATTAATACTTATGATGTCAAATGGGGTGAAGCCCGTGGGTAACAGCTAGTATTATTAAGTGTATTTCACTAGTTACCAATTGTACAAACAATTAATTATCTTAGGCCAAATGGCCTGTGTCAGATAAGTTATAGTTATTTTGAATAAGAAAACAACTCAATTTGCAGAAACTATTGAATCTCAATATTGACGTCTCAAAACTAATATAACCCATGCACACACACATAGGGTTGGTATGTATTGGTTTTGTAGGGTAAATTATTCAGGATATGTTTATTAATATTGGTAGTTTTATTTGTGTTTTCGGCTTTAGTTAAGCCATTCAGGTGACCTTGAACGTCAAAAGAACTTGAAATTGAATTATTGAGGTTTGAAAAATTGTGTAAACGATTTTCTTACAATGACATTTAGTATTGTCATAACATTGATGCCAATCTACCAGCAGACCGGGGGAGCAGGCTGGTCTAGTGGTTAGATAGCGGGACTCCGGTTCCTGAGGTCCCGGGTTAAAATCCCGCCAAATCACCTTTGTATTTTATCTAAGTGATAATGCCGTAACTCCTAGGTCTAGCCTGAAGTAATGTGAAAAACAATTGCGGGCTCGTGCCTAGCGTCCTAGGACAAAAAAATCTACCAGTAGGGCCTAGACCAAATTTTAGTGGAATAGAAGTTTGAGTATCACTGGTTCAATATGTAAATATTATTTTACCAATTTTTTAATTAAAATTTAATTTCACATTTTCAAAAAAAATTTAGGAACCCCTCATTAATCTGAACTTACAAGTTGGGGTTACAAGTCATTTGTTTTAAATTAAGTTCTCATAATATGAAGGAAAAGTACAAATCTTGGACTGTTTGGTACCCCGTGTTTCTGATGAAACACCTTATACAGAAAAGTACTTGTATACCCGTATGAATAAAAAAAGAACAGTAGTTAGATTTAATAATGAACATTATTTTGGCTATTTTTGGCTGTCATTAACCATGGTATTTAAGCTCTATTCACCTGCACGTGTCCATGGAACAAGTAAAGTCTACAATAACGGGGTTCGGTTCAATAAGGGTTCACTGTACATATTTTCATGTTAGTTGTATTCTTATTAACAATAAATTTTCTGCAATTTTAGGCAAAACAGATCAACATTTACGATCTCAGAGACTTCTACGAGAGCAAAATCTTTGAGTCAAACCACTTCAAGTATGATGCCAAGAGAAAGATGATCGTTCAATCATTGCCAACCACGCGAGTGACAGCCTAAAGCTTCATTTTAACATTGACTGAAGAAATTGGCCTTCTTGTACATACAGCCTATGCGAGAGGTGCCTTTCTTACCAGTGTCCAGTGTCGCAAAAGCTGAACATTGTCATGTATATATATTTAAGAAAGAGTAGAGTTATTTTTGTAAGTTCTTTGACAAGTAAATTGAAGTAAAATAGAACCTTGATGTACAAAAAAATCTCGATACTTATGTTGAGCTCTAAAAAATTGAAGATTTAAAAATCTCTAAAATTGTGTAGTGTAATGTTACAGTTTTTGTGAACCTTTTAGTCAATGACATACTTTCTCCTATATTAAAGACAAATTGTATCTGGTGTAAATTGAGCTAACCCCTAAGTTAACTTTATTACCCATGAGGAGTACATTCAGGGGATGCCAATAGAATATAGCTGTGAAAAGGTTAGGTAACCTTCCAAATTTGTTTTCAATACTCTGAGGGAAAATGTTACTTATGACTTCAAGAAATATATCACTATGTAATGTTGGCCCATTTAGTTTCTTCTCTTTTTTATCATTCATCTCTTATCTTTTTGTGGATTCCCTCAAATTATACAGTCCTCCTTTATTACATTTCTTCATTGCTTTTTGTTCTTAAGACTGGCACACGATGTTAATATATAAAAATACAAAGCTTTTGCTACTCTACTACAATGAATCATCTATTGACCTACTCTAGCTTTCATATTCCAGTTCCGCATACTTTCTTCATTGTCCATTTAACCCGGTTGTCCGCTTGAATTCGGGTTTGCAGAATTGTATTTCATTAACAAAGGCCTTTAATTTGACATGCCTATAAACCCAAGAATTATTTTTACTTGCGTATTTGATGTCCGTTGTATTATTACAACAGCTGATTCTAAGGACCAAAACGAAAGTGCCATTGTGTGAATAATATTACCGACTTTACTAGCACGCTCTGCTTACAGTAAGTTAAGAGCTTAGTAAAATATTCCTCTATTGACGTGGCCATTATTCTTCAAGTAGGAAATGAACCACTTACCTACTCTATAGCCTTCACACACCGTTTCTGCATTAACATTTATTTTTACATGAGGCACCACAGCCGCTCGGTTTAATGATAACCAGTTAATTGTTAGTTGGTAGACAACTTGTGTTTGTTTCCATCATTATTTTCGAGGTGAGTTTTTACAATATTAGTTTTTCTCCTGCCCCCCTTGATGTTATTTCTTTTTATAGATGTCGTTTATAGAATTTGATTATTACGTGGAAATTACACTTTTTAAATGCTAGTATGTTTTGTTATCTGTTGATTTATATTGTTTTGGCTATGTTAAGTTTGTGTCAAAATTTGTATTGATGTAGAACACTGAAAGGTTTGTTGTTAAATATGGTTAAAGAATTCTGAATGTTAATTTGTATTGAATTATGTTCGAGTAATATTATAATAAATCGGTTGTTCGTATGTATATTCGTTTAAATTCTCAAGTGCCTAACAGAAAGCCTTTATGTTCTATTATTGTAGTCACCATTACTCAATAAAAGAGAAGATTTTATTCAACAAATTAAAGTATTTTGTACATTTTTTTTTTTAAATAAAAACATTGTACAAGTAAATATGTATTTGATCTTTGTTACATTTCACTTAGACTTAGACACCTTAAATTTTAAGTTGTATTGAACTAATGAGTGATATGATTTCACTTTAATAAGTGTTTTAATTAAACAGATAATTAACTTAACAGGATGATTAATTCCACCAGAAGGCATGGTCAAGAATAAATTTATCCAAACAAATTATAATATTGACTTTGAATAGTACTAGTAGACATCTCATCCTATTCTAAAGTTTAAATCCACATATGATTTGTGTTGTGCGTTACGTGTCTGATAAGATGCTTGAATTTGCTGATGTCTACTGAATCATTTTCTTTTGTTTTTTATATAATATTTTGAGTGTGTACTTATACTTACTATAGTGTGCTTAACTTTCCAAATGTAATGTCTGAGGAAAAGCAAAAGTTTAAAAAATAAAAGTTCCGATTGTTCTACTGTATAAATGCATATTGTATACAAATGCCAATTACAGGGGGTATAAGGAAAGACGTTATTGATGTAGTTATTATTATTAAAAGAACAAGTTGTATTATTCGCTATCACTAGCAGAGTCACTGCCGCTGCCGCTGGGAGAGGCAGAACGGCTCCGGGATTGGGACTTGCGGGGTGGGGAGCCTGACCTCGACCTGTAAATAAAAACCACAGTTTTATTCTTCTTCTTTAACACTTCAAAACATTTAATCCTTAATTATTGGTTACGGAGAATACACTGTGTCCAACCTAAATTAATCGTTAAGAAGTAACTAGACTGGTGACAATCACCTGTTTAAATTCAAATTGTTTAATCTTGAGATAAAGAAGGGGTAGTATTAGTCTCCTTCTAGAGATAATATCCATTTGATTTGACCTGACACTGGGTCTCAGTAAATGAGCCAGACGTTGTTGGTTCGACACTAGCTACCTCTACTGCCTTATCAGCTGGCTTGATCACGTGACTTATAGCTTTGACTAGACATTCCATTCTCAAGTTTAAGTTCTATTAAGTAACTGAATAAAAGTAAACCGATTGAAGATATCGACACAGTGCGCTGTTTTCTGCAGAATACGCCAAGTTATTAACTAAACTGAAAATGAAAATACAACTATTGTAAAATATAATATTTTTTATGTCACATAAAAACACATGCACTAAGGCAGTAACAAAAAAACTTCCGGGGAATATAAAAATAAATACAGTGGGACACTGTGAGTGGCATTCCTTTGTTTCGTTCAACCAATATTGCTACAGTTGATCCATACAGAGTGAGGCAGACCACCCGTACACATACACGTAGGAGTACGTTTTCATCTAGAAACACGAAATAAAATTATTCCCCCTAAATCACATATGAAGAATCCATTTAAAATACTAGAACATGATCCAAATAGAGGGTGTTCCAAAAATGAAGGTCACAGGTTCGAATCTCAAAATTTCCTTATGTCAACCTACTTGTACATTTTTAGAAAGGTGTTACTTTCAATATTTTGGTCAAAACAGAACTCAATTATCTCAACCCGTTTCAAAATGGCGGCCACTTATGTCAATTTGGTATTCACCAACCGAGGTGAAGTTGTAAGCAAGTGAAGGTTGCTTACCTCTGAGGAGACCGTGACTGGCTGCGTGATCTAGGAGAGGAGCTACGTGACCCTGAGGTGTGTGAAGCTCTATCTCCCGCAGCAGTCTTGTTGTCAGCCTCGCCACCTTCACCTTCACTGCCGCTGCCAGAGTCTAGGGGATCACAGGAATTGTAAATTAAATGTTACTTTATTATCGAAAAAATATTTCATAAATCCAGTGTTAGCTGGTGAACCAGGTGATATAGGTAACATCCAATATAAGGCAATCCTACATCGACTGTGGATGAGTGGTTGAAATGGATGTTGATTGAGTTTAAATGGTTACAGGTTTGGAGGGAAAACCCTGGGTTAGGAATACATTAAGGAAAAAGGTATTTGTTTCAACTCATCTATGTGAAGTAAAAATTGACTAAATCTGTTCCATGCAGATGTCTAATTCAGTATTAAAAGTTAATTTTAGCACACAAAAAGTTCCCAACACAATTTACTTGATACTCCATCCCTCCAGGAAGAAGTAGAATATTTTTTTGTTTTTGTAAATATAAAAATTGTTTACAGAATTTTGTTTATATTATTGTCATAAAGTTTATTTTTACTTCATTTAAATAACCAGAAGATTATTTGAAATGATTCAATTTAGAAGGCAAAGCAAATACCTACAAACAATAGACCATGAACAAGCTGTGCTAACAATGTTGGGGCGTCATTTGAGTTCAAATGTAGGTTTGGTACATTTAACAACATACTGGTACCCTTTTATCTGTAATTCTCAGTTATTAAATTATCATTAATAATTTAATTATTTGGACTATTTTATGTTATAATAGACTAGGTTTTAAGTTTTACTGTTTTTTTACAAAAGGACAAGATGAAGCAAAAAATCATTTCTAGCTGAACTATAGATTGAAACCAAACTTCAAAAAATTCAAATTAAAAAAACCTTTCACGTCTTCAAGAACAACTTAACTTTTGAATGCCAAAAAATTAAATTAAAGATTTTGGCTGTAAAATAATATTTTACTCTTCAATTATTGTTTTTTAACAGGTCCTCATAGATAAGCAAATGTTATTTTGTAGTCAATATAAAAATTGTTTACAGTATTTAATTTATATTATTGTCATAAAGTTTATTTTTACTTCATTTAAATAACTAGAAGAATTATTATTTGTAATGATTCAATTTAGAAGGCAAAGCAAATACCTACAAACAATAGACCATGAACAAGCTGTGCTAACAATGTTGGGGCGTCATTTGAGTTCAAATGTAGGTTTGGTACATTTAACAACATACTGGTACCCTTTTATCTGTAATTCCCAGTTATTAAATTATCATTAATAATTTAATTATTTGGACTATTTTATGTTATAATAGACTAGGTTTTAAGTTTTAATGTTTTTTTACAAAAGGACAAGATGAAGCAAAAAATCATTTCTAGCTGAACTATAGATTGAAACCAAACTTCAAAAAATTCAAATTAAAAAAAACCTTTTCACGTCTTCAAGAACAACTTAACTTTTGAATACCAAAAAATTAAATTAAAGATTTTGGCTGTAATTTTTTACTTAAATTTAAACTAAAAATTCTATCTAAACTAGCAGTTGGTTTGTTTACTGTACCTGATGAACTGTTGTTACTTCTAGCATCATCGCTGTTGTCACGCTTCTTTTTAGGGGATCCTTCTTCTTGTTCTTGGTCACTGTCTTGTCTTCCTCCGACACTTCTTTTCTCACCGTCACTTTGCTGCTCGTCACCACTTTCTTGTCTGTTGTCACTGTCTCGCTTTTCATTGTCACTTTCGTCCTTGTCACTGTCTCCTTTTTCTTTATCACTCTCTCCCCCCTTATCACTATCTCTGTCTTCTTTTTCTTTGTCACTTTCCCCGCCCTTGTCTTCTTTGCCGTCCTCTTTCTCGCTGTCATCTTTCTCATTACCACTGCGGTCCTTGTCTTCTTTCTCGGAAGAGGCCTTTTCATCGTCATCTAGGGAAAAAAATGGTCCCTTAGTTGTGCTGTTTTTGTTTCCTTTTGAAGGTTTGAATTAATTTATAACTTATCTAGGCCTAAATAATGTTGTAAATGGTTACTCGGTATTAATAACATAAGTTTAATAACACTTTCCTCTTCATAGACACATTACATACATTAAACCATTTGTGTGTGTATGTTTACAGCTTTTAAAATAAAAATGAAATTAAATTATTTATCTAGGCTATTTCACTTCTATTTATCATTATGAATTTATTTTTAAAACCTAGTTTTTGGGGTTTCAATTATCTTACAATATAGTGGATACAAACAAAATAGTTACAATAAGAGAAATGAACAACACAAAATACAAGCTGAATACTTTAGAGTAACTAAAGGAATTGGTAAGGAAATCTTTTCAAGTATCTCGGCATTAAAGTTAGAATGTTCATATTTCAATACAATTGAGTCTCGACTATCCGATCTTAGAATATCAGACCTACATGTTATCCAACCCTCCCTCCATTGATCATGAACCATGAAATACCCTTTTAGTGCCTCTATCTGTGCTCGACTGTGCCAGGTTTTAGGCTGATTATTTCTGGGCTATACATATCACACAGTTGATCAACTTCTCGTGTCTCTCTGCTACTCCTAACGTCTTTGATGCAATGAAAACGGGGACCTGAGACTGAGTAGATGAGTACTGTATAACTTTTTCTTCGAGTATATTTTATAGTTATAGTAGCAAGTTTATCCTTCTTAGTTAGGCTATTATTTTTTACTCATCTGACCGGCTGGTTTAGGTTACACAATTTGCATCTACTAAATGACTGAACTTAATTTAAAATGAGTAAAATATAAAGTTTTATAGAAATCTTAACAAAGTTGACCGTAGAAATTGGTTCATACTGTTACAATATTTCACTTATTTACTCGCCTGATTTGTTTGCCCTCTCTTGAGGTGCTTCTTCCTCCTCCTCTTCTTCTTCTTCCTCTTCCTCCTCATTGGGAGGCTCGAGTACCTTCTCCCGATAACGTTGCATTTTGAATTCTGTGGCGTTGAGTGTTCGGTGAGTGACCACAAGCCGTGTGTTGTTCACCTGCTGACCTGCCTTCTGCCGACGCTTGCTCAGTCGCACTCTATCAAAATTAAACAAATCATTTAAAATGTAGACTACTGTATGGATCTGACACAACAGATTTAGCATAAAAAACATGGAGTTTAAGATGCAAATTTCAAACTTTGAACACAGCAGTTGAAGCAATTTAGTGAAACGAATCATGTAAATAATAATGAAACTTAGTAATTTTAAATTGCATTTTTCTAACAAAAATTTTTAGAATGGTTTTGTGTTTAAAGTAACTGAGGGAATAATCCGAGGCATGCTAGAGTTTAATCTTGAGAAAAAAGTAATAATGTAAACTATGAGTGAATCAGTAATGTATACAAAAACAATTCCAAAATACATAGGGTCAAATAAATATATTTATTTAATAATATCTTTTCCCATAACCAATAATATATTTTTCAATCCAAGAGTGAATCAGTAATGTATAAAAAAACAATTCCAAAATGCATACGGTCAAATACATATATTTATTTAATAATATATTTTGCCACAACCAACGTATATTTTTCAATCCATTGCTTTAAATGGAGACGAGACAGTAATGTTTGTCCTAATTAGAAATCAAATTAAGGATAGTTAACGACTTTATCTGTGATAAAAACAATACTTATATAAAATATTTAGTCAAAACAAAGCAGGAGCAAATATTCTGAGCATTTCTTACACAATTGTGACCAGCCAATAAAAACCAACTACGGGAAAACTGAGTTACAACTAAATCAAAATTGTACACTAACCTTGTCTCAAGCTCGTTGTAGTAGACTCCATCTGGTCGCATGACCAAGTAGTAGTTCTCCTCGTAGCCCTTGCTAGCCTTGCTCTTGACGTTCCAATTGTACTCACGCGCCATCTTGTACTCATACTCCTCGTCCTCTGTGTACTCGATATTCTGCGTAAAGTCGTGTCTTCGCTTCTCCAGGGTTGTTTCTGTTGGTAGGAAGTACGCGACAAACTGCTCTCCACTCTCGTCCATCACACCCCTGTGTTAAAGTATTGCATGTTAGTCGGGTGAGTTTTAACCGGTGTGAAAGTAATGTTTGACACACCTTTTTTGGTGAAGATTTTTGGTGAAGGTGAGATTGTTTTATTTATGAAATTATTGTGGACATTTTTCATTACTAGTATAAACAGGTTTCCACATTTTGGGATCTGGAATTTCTTTTTGAGCCACCGTATTGTACAGAAAAGGCCAATGTGTTCCCTTGCTCTCTGTTTATACTAATTGTTGATTTCTTTCACGATTTTTTGTTTCTTGAATTGACTACTATAAGTTCTCTGTGTGGTTTTCATTTGTGATTGCCCAGTTTTGGTTGGGCTCGTGTATTCATTCAGTTATGTTTTATGAACTTTTTTATCTGAGGACTCTAAACGCTAGAGCCTGAAACGTTGAGAAAACTTGTTTTGTAATTGTGATGAAAAATGTCCACTGTATTGTTGTTTGTCACCTTATTTTGTGCTTGCTTCATATTTGTTTGATATTTGAAGTTTTGGTAAAGAAATTGATAATACAAGATAACCGTTAAGTGGTTTCCCAGTTCTCAACCTTCGTCCCTCTTCACCAACTAACATTACTGTATTCAGCAAACTAAACAAGGATATGACACACAATATATATTCTAGAATACTATACTATTGAACATAAAATACAAAAAGACTTTAAAACCCTTTCTTGAAAAGAAATTGAAAGAATAAAGGCATTTTGATTTGATAAAGACATGGAACATTCATAGATTATCTTGCAGGAGCAATATTAATTTCTTCGATTATTATCTTTTGAAATCATAAAATGCATCTATAGGCCTAATCCAAATAACTATATCCTTATAAAAAATTAGTTGAATTTTTAGATTAGGTCATATGAAGTAAATTCAATTCAAAGACAAAAATTATCCTGAATAAAGAATATGTCAATAGTAAACTACAGTAGTTCTTAACAAGAAAAATTTGAGATCAAACCTGATCATAGCCTGAGACATTTCTTCAATCTGCGCCGGCACTGGTCGACCCACAGGCGCTGGGTCAGAATCGAAGATGACTTGTGCACACGGATACTTCCACAACTGAAATTGACCAACATAACATCATTCATCAGTTTTTAAATAGGCCTAGTTAAAGCAAACCGTGAATCCAAATGTGGCAATGTAGTTCCAAGAAAATGTGTTATTTTGTAGTTATTTGTTTTGAAGGAATAAACTCATTATTTCATTAAACTACAAACCTGTCCTCTTTATTACATACATATAGGTAGGCTACTGAACACTGACTAGGTGAGGTTGAATTACGGTAGGCCTACCTAAAGTAGTACGGGTTACTGTTTTGGCAAATAAAGAATAAAGTACCATAAATTACCTTGAAGTCGGGGAAGATAGGCAGAATTTCAACTGGGGTAACATTCGGTTTGCTGTAGTGCTTATCAATGGGCTGTTTAGCGTCCACAAACGTTTTCTCAATGGCCTTGATTTGACTCTCGCGGTCCAAAAATAATGTTTCATCCTGAAAGCAAAGGGTTTTTATGATTAGCATTTGAATCCAACTAAAAACAGGATTTTGAATACAACCTTTTTTTTACATTCAAAATATTGACTAGAACGTTCTTCATCTTAATTATTAGTTTAAAAGAAGAAATAATAAAGTATTCTACCAAGGTAAAAGCAACTGTTAACTAGACAGATTGAGGTGTTATTGTATACTGATAGAATAAACGCTTTTGACACCAACACTGGCCACAAATAGGGAGAGGTGAATAAGTTCACTAAAAACATTCAATAAAAGTAAACGACACTACGACATAGGTAAACATTCTCATTTCATCCTATAGTTCAAGACAGAATTTACATTGATGTAACAGTACAACTACAGCTTGCTGTTGCAAAAGTTTAACAGGAGCTTAAATGAAATGGTTAAATTTAACTTCAGTTGAAACATTCAGTCACACTTAAATATTTCCCTATTTGATAGTAAAAAATGTCATTGGAAATTTAGATCTGTTCTTACCTTGAGGTTCTTTTTAATACTGTAGCCAACTTTGGCCTCAACTTTATCCATAGTCTGAGGCTGGAATCTTGTTTGTTCGGTAGAAATGTACTCTGTTCTCCTCAACCATGATACACTTCTTCCGTGATGCCGTGACCTAAACATCAACATAAAACATTATTAGTTCATCCTTTAACCCTCAAAATACTTAATTAACTTTAGCAATAAATCTTTAAAAAATCTCCATGCAGATGTAATCCTCACCGATGAGCTGGAGACTATTTGAAAGTATCTTTATTTCCAGTTGGCTAAATAATAATGTATACTAGAGGTCCTCCAGTGGTCGAAAACTCTACCAAAAATATTTAATGTACAGACTTCTCTATTTTTACCTTATGCTGTGAATAAAATATGTGATTGAAATTTCTTCCATTTGTTTTAATTTTCAGTAGCTTACATATTTCATTGCTAGTACCTGGGGACCGAGCTTTGCTCGGGGAAAATCATTCCCCCACTCTGCGATGCCAGCCTTTACTACTTTCTTCACCATTTCCTACGTCATGGACCTGTTTCCTTCCCTTCTCATAGCATTTAAGTATTACAGATATATTAATCTAACTACCACAAACGGTTCCCACACTCTGCGATGCTAAACTTTACTACTTCCTACGTCGTGGACCTGTTGTCATCTCTTTCCATAGCATTTTAATATTTTAAATACATTAATCTAATTGCCACAAACATTTCCCTCACTCCGCACTGCTAAAAAGCATTTACTACTTCTTTCACCATTTCCTATGTCTTGGACATGTTTCCATCCCTTCTCATAGCGTTTCAGTATTTCAATTTCAGATACATAAATCTAACTGTTACAATTGGTTTCCAGTTCCCAGACTCAACACTGCTCGCCTTTACTACTTCATTCACCTCTTCCTATGTCGCGGACCTGTTTCCCTCCCTTCCCATTACATTTTAAGATTGCAGATACCTTAATCTAATCCTCATAAACAGTTCCCACACTCCGGACTGCTCGCCTTGACTACTTCCTTCACCACTTACTACGTCTCAGACCTGTTTTCCTCCCTTCCCATAGCATTTTAGGATTGTAGATAACTTGATCTAATCGTTATTAACAATTCCCACACTCCGGACTGCTCACCCTTACTACTTCCTTCACCACTCCCTATGTCGTAGACCTGTTTGCCCTCCTTCCTTATACTATTTTAGAATTGTAGATACCTTAATCTAATCGTCATAAACAGTTCCCATATTCCGTACCGCTCACCTTTACTACTTCCTTCACCACTTCCTACGTCGCGGATTTCGTCACCAGCATGGCAACCCATAAGGCCAATGTTAAATTTTTCATAACTTTTAAATTCATTTTTTGTGATTATTTTTCAGTCCATTTTAGGCCCTAATATATAAAGGGATAGACTGCACATCTAATGGAAAATATCTTTCTAACAGTATGCGTAGATTTTTCCTGCAATGACACGTGCTGAGAAAAAAGGTTAAAAGAAACAAATAAATTGCCTATATTATAAACACATAATAATGTAGGTAGTAGTTATTAAATTTGATGTTTGCTATTCAATGTCTTGTTCCTTAATTTAACTTTAACTCCAGTTTCGTAACTGACATTTAACTTCTTTCTTCTGGAGAATTGTAAGGAGGATATATCAAGTTTATTGTGTTGTACCTTTATTTGTTTGTGCTTTAAAGTACCTGGAACTCTTTTCTTTTCTCAGGTAAGTTAGTTGTGTAACCATTCCTTCTTCCTTACTGTATTTCTAATCCAAGTCCTTTTTCTTAAAAAAAAAATGTACAATAAACATGTAGTTTTGTACTTTAGGTATAACAAAACCAGTTAACTGAAGCAGGCACGAAATAGGTCTCCACTAGGTCAAATGAATCAGGTTTAGATTGTCTGTTTCAACAGGAGGTATGGAGATGATTTTTCCAAGATTTTAAAACAATATTAGAGAATAAGAAAGAGTTTACTTAATCCTAAAATGGTGAAATAACAAAAAAATAACAGTAAACATGAAAATGCAATTTAAATATGCACTAGACAGTAATCAACTTTGATATTGTTTTCAGTGTATTCAAAAGAATGACAAATCTAAAAGGTTTATTTCACAGGTTCATTATCTAGAAGTCACAGCTAAAATAAGGTTTGATTGAACCATAACATAAACTTGAACAGTTTTTTTAGTTAGCCTACATACCTTTTTGAATCTGTCTGAGTCAGGATGTCTTCCTCCAAAAGTTTTTCATCAGCTGGATCCAAAGTTTGTCCGAAATCAGGAGTGTAAAGGTCTTTATTTATCAGGTCTATTGTGACTCCAAGATCATGTTCTGTTAGGACTTCATATTTGTAGTTTCGTTCTAATGAAGTAGGATTGTACTCTATGAACCTGCAATGGTAGGTGGTTACGTATATGAAGATAACCTTTCAGAAAATAGTTTGACCTAGGTATATGGCACAGATTTTTTGGTGACTAGTATTTGACTAGTATTTTCAATTAAAGTATCAGAAAATGCTTTTAAATTAAAAAAAGGGTCTAAACCCCTCAGTTGTTTTGTCTTAAACAAGATACAACCTTGAATTTGCAGCATCATATAAATTTGATACATGCCCATCAGCTATCCATAAAACTGAACAAAGTTGAAATTTATAAGTTGTCAAATGAAATTAATTTTAAAAGGGCACTTAGTTATTTATAATGTGTTCAAAAATCAAAAAAATTAACTTTAGATTTATTCTTTATTCAAACAACATTATTTTAAAAACCAACATTAGTGGGAAAACCAATTTTTACCCCATAAATTCTCTTTCCCTTAAGTTAGCTTAATCATGCTGGTTTGCGAACGGGTTCAACTAAACATAGGTTTACATGTTTGTGCAAAATTTAATTAAAATTGAATCATTTTTGCTCAAATTAATTGTTCTCGGGTCCAGGTCTTATTGTTAGACCTACGGTAATAGCTTATTCCCTGTATGAAATATTCGCTAAGAGTGACAACAGATTTAATACCAACTTCAGGCTGCTACTAATATCAACGTGACATTGCATAGCCTATATAAAATAAAAACCTATTAGGATCATTGAGTTAAATAACTCCATTTATTCTAATAAAAGGATTCCATAAAAAATACCAACCCTAACTGGCTGGGTAGCTGAGTGGTTATAACTTAGTGCTCGCCAAATAATCAAAAAGTTACCGGTTCGATCCTAAGAAAATTCAGTAGCATTTTGATGGTTTAAAACTGGACCTAGCTGTTCCTAATCATTGGGCTTTATATCAATTATCCTGACCAATGAATACAAACCCTTTAAGAAGCGAAATGATTTGGAGATTCTGGAGAATAGTCAGACTGGAATTTTGCCGCCGAAACGAGCTACTCTCTCACTCTTTCTAAGCAGATTCTTTGTCACTCAGTCAGCTGACTTGGCCGCACGCTCGCGATAGTCGTTGAAAAAATCAAATATTTCAACACTGAATTTTTTACAACGGCATTGCGCTTCTTAAAGGGTTTGTATTCATTTTCCTGACTGAGGGAACAGCTGATCTCTGTCAGTAACAAAGCTACACAGATAATCTCACAACATTCTGCACTCATCCTTCACTCACATTTGGGTTAAAACAGGCACCTAGGTGGCGTCCCCATCTCAAATAAAAGAATAATAATAATAATTAGCCTACAGAAGGCCTAGTCAATCTCTAATTTCCATAAAAATTCTTACCTTCTTGACTCAAATGGATATGTAATAAACTTTGGATCGAAAGGTATGTCAGGTAGAGTGTTGCAGTATTTCACTCGAGACACTAACTCAGACCTGGATAAACAGAATCACACACTTACAAATTTATATAATCTGGTAAAATATAATAGGTCAAGGTAATATATGTTTCATCACGAGGGTGTTAAAGTGACTCTTTTGGACCTGAGCTCAAGTTTCACAACCAAGACTCTTGTTGGAAAATGAGTGAAGGTTAAAAAGACACTTTTTGTCCGTGTGACCAACTATATTTTATTGTAACATTATTCTAAAAACTGAGTTAGAAAGCTAAGATACTTTTCATTTAAAAGTAAGTAGGCCTAACCTCTCAAAACTACTTCCAACTTATTGTCGATTTTGCTAAGGTAATTCAAACAAACAGCTGTTTAGTAAATGATACAGTAGTTACAATAATTTTGTCTAGGCTAAATTATGATTTTATACTATTGATACCTATCTCAAAGTATTTTGACAAGATTGCAACAATAAGCTACAACTAATTTAATTAATGGATGATTAATTGATTAATTTTGGTAGGCCTACAATAGGACTTATTGACTACAATAGAAGTGCCTAGGCCTAACTGGCTTTTACCATTGAGTAGGCCTATGTATAGGCCTACACGTACTAGAGTAGCCACTCAAAGGAGGTTATCATTACCTTAACAACGCTATTGCAGAGTAGCGTCAGAGGCCCGAACTACTCCACCTTGGGCTCATCGGTACTTAAGGCAGTTTGGCTATGGTACCCGTACCTTCGCGCAAATTTTTTATCTTGATTATATTATTTTTAAGTTTTTATTACCTCCTGAATCCTAATGTCATAATTTTTTACGCAAATAAATATTTCCAGCTGATCTTCTAAAGTGATTTATTAGTCAATTACTTAATGTTACCTGTTAGAAAATTTTGTCTCATTACGGGGATATAAATTGGCTTGCTGGACACTTGGGCTACATCTAAGTCCTTATTTAGGCATGTTAGGATGGGAGGTCGTTCTTCATGTTGATTCGGGGCTGTATTAAGTTAACTTATGTGTTTTGAAGTTAGGTTGGATTAGGAAGGTAAAGATTAAATTACAATGAACCGAGTTGTTTATGTCTCTCCAGGCCATTTACAAAAAAAGTCTGGAGATAACATAAACTAACAACTCGGTTCAAACTTTAGGCCCCTACCTTAAGTTTACCTAGGCCTAATCTAACCTAACTTACCTTCAAAGGACTTAACTTAATGCAGTCATGAATTAACATAACAATCCTACAATCCTAACATGCCTTTTCTGACATAAAAAAGGAATTTGGAGAAACTTATAGGCCAAGGCCTTGTCTATTTTACACTCCCCAGAGGAGCTAATGTGTGCATTCCTAAAGATCATAAATTTGATCAGATCCAACTATGACAGTAGCCTCTATCAGAAAAACAGGAAAGTTGAATCTTATACCTTCTCGTGTAATAGATTGGGCCTACATGACTGTTGTGTTGATTCTTTGGACTATAGGGCTATAGGCCTAGCACCTAAGTTAGGATTGGCCTCTTTATGAGCAGTTGCCAAAACGACTCTGTTACATGTCACAAACACTTGGACAGCATGTAAAAATTTAGTTATAGCTGAAAAACTGAAAACCTAACATAATAATGGCAAAGATAGGGATTACAGATACCTATTTATTTAATTATTGTACGCTTCATAGTTTTTAGGTTAGGCCTAAGCCTATTTAAAAAAAAGTTAAGTTTACTCTAGGCCTAACTTACCTTTTTTCTCCTGTCCTCGGAGGTCTTTTATCGCGATCTGCATTCACGTTGGTTTGGATTGTTGGAGGCATGTTGAATTGAATAAATGTCACTTTACACGTTAAAATCTTTCATTCTTTAACTTAATAAAAATATAAACAATCTCCATGAAGGCTACAACTAAAAGTTCTCATTTCTTGTTCTTTTCTTCAGCCTTCTCTTCCTTCAATCACCTTCGTCAACAACGGCTGGCTTTAGCTTAAACCATACAGCTGCGTTGTTGTATGAAAACTTGTTATATTTATACATATATATGACCATTACTATCGTCCATTAAATATTGTAAGAAAGGGAATTAACCCCGTACCCACGGTGCTCATCTATGCAGACACTCTGTTCACATTACACTTAGTCGACCAGTTGGTGTGAACAGAGTTGAACAGTAGCATGAGCATCGATTTACAAATTCCTTTCCCAGCTGATGTGAGCTAGGCGATGACCGGTAGGGCTGACTTCCAAGAAACACCGTTAACCTATAAGCCACACACCCTATCGGTAATCAGCCAATGAGAAGGGCTAATGAAGAAGATGGAGGGGTCAAGACTCTTGGAGCTGGAGGATCTGAAGGAAAACATCGAGGAGATCACCACGGGCCACCGGAGAAAGAAGATCGGGAGTTTGGGAGTGCGTGTATCGGTGCGTGTGCTTCTGGGACAATTAACAGTATGTAAAAAGAATAAAATATATAACTAAAGTTTTGTCAAACATACAAGTCATGTAATTTGTCAGTAACTAATTCTTTTACATTTTCAATTGATTTTCTTTTCTTGTAAATTTATTTATCTTATTATTGTTGATTTTTGCCTTTTCTAAGTTTTCTTTTGCTGTTGTAACACTTTGTTACTTTTGTTGTTTTTCTAAATTTAAATTTTTGTTCATTACACGTTGAGTAACACCCTTAAGCAGTCTTATGTCTCATTAACCTAACACCTCTTGACTAAGCTAAGCGAGTGTAACATTTTAGGAAACTTAAACTTAAAGTGAGGCATGGGACTCGCAATATCAATAGTTTTGATGAGTACCTACTTAGGTTTGCTGATACAAGGAGCGTAATAAAGTTCAGTTTAGTTCATTTTTAACACTTAACTTTACTTTGAAATGGTGACCATTCGAATGTAGGAATTTTAAGCCAAGTATGAATGGAGATGCTCAGTAAAAATAATGTTAATATAAGTATCCAAAAATTAGCAAACTACTGTATAACAGTTCGTTTGCCTAGGTACTTATCCTTCATAAGAATAGCATAAACATTTTTTTAATTGTATGTTTTTGGAACGCTCCCATAACCAACCATCATAAGCATAGCCTACGCTTATTATTCCACAGACTAGAACCAATTAATAGTCTATAACATAGATAAAACATCCATAGTATGTGATATAGTCTATAGTATGTGATTATTTAATGGTTTAGAAGAAATTGTAATTCTTAGAGATAAGTCAAAATGTTGTTGTTAAAAAAATTGAAACAAAATTAATTTAACTCCATAAAACTTTTTTCCAATTGTCTGGCCACAATGGTTTGTAACTTCATTGTTCATACTCGTTTGAATGAATTAAGGCCGGGGCTCCACTTGCCGTAAATTGTCGCGCTGCAAATTGTAGCGCGCTACACGCTACAGTTGGTGGCTCCACTAGCAGCAGAGTACGAACTACAATCTGCAGCGTCCTCTCACATGCACCGTGGCTCCACTAGCGGTTTAGTATAGCGCCGCGGTAGACGTGGCCCTGGATTATGCCGCAAATTAACATTTGTAGTGTAGTTATCAGTGTACTTTTAGCAAGACGACGCCGATCACAACAGAGGAAATGGTGGATCCATCCCATATTAAGCAACAGAAAGTCCTTCCACACTGCATACTAAACTACAAAAGTATTCAGACAAGTTTTTTGAATACTATCGAATGTCCCAAAACTCTTTTGATTACTTAGTAGAAACTGCCCAGACAGCACACTTTCTCCTCAGGACATCCCACGGATATTGCGACAGGATATGCAAGATATCCCATAGTGGTCCTATGGTCAACTTGGGATATCACAGGATATCCACAGGAATGCGTAATGTCCCCGCCCGGGGATGTCCTACGGATAAGCTCACACGCATATCCGTGGGACATCCGAGGTCATCCCAGGGTAGTCCTCAGGACATTCTCAGGACATATGGGACTACTATGGGATGTCCCTGGGATAAAGTGTGGTCTGGGCCTGAACATAAAAAACACAAAATAATATAGATTTAGTATGAAAAGCTTAATTATAAGTTTAGTAAATTGATTAAATAGTTAATAAACACAAATTTTGAAGAAAAAAACGAAAAAAAAGTTTTTGGCCCAGACGGGTTTCGAACCTGGTACCTTCGCCTTGTGAGCCTCTTACCTTACCTCCTGAGCTATCTGCGCTTGTTGATTATGGGTGTTTTCAAGTGGTTAAAGAGTAGCCGACAGTTGCAATGGTCGCAATACTTAACATATTTTTGATACTACAGTATAGGCTATATATGATTCTGTTAATCTGTTTAGGCCTCAAGTAGTTGAATTGTTTTTCTGGTAGTTGGAGCGGATACTGGTATTTGAATATAGATTATTTAATCACCATTAGATTAGCACTGTAATAATTGATTGTTATATGATTAAAATTAGTTTTTTGTTGTTTATTAATTTAAAGTTAGAATTAAATTCACATTTCACACAACTATGATAGAACTCTAGTTTTCCTGAACTCAGTGGTAGTAATATGTCAGTAAAGTAAAGTCAACCCTTGCTAGCCATAGTATTAAAAAGACATATTTTCAATCTGGGAAACCTTAAACTTTTAAAATAAATTATAAAACCTCAACATCTTAATGCGTGGGAATCTTATTTTTAGAAAAAAAAAAACAGACCAAAATTATTTGTTAAATAATGAAGACGGCCCAATTATAAATTCGGAATTACTGAAAATAATTACATCAAGACAACACTGTAACATATCCAAAATTCAAAAGATTAATTTTTCTAATATTATTTTTTATTTTTCCAATATCCTTTAAATCATCTGTTTTAACTTTGTTTAAAATTAATTTATTAAGTAAATATTTACTTTCTGTACTAGTGTAAACACAGCCTGAAGATGGAAACCAAGTTTCTGAAAGCACTAGTGAAAAAAAAACAAATTATTATATATTGGCCTTGTTGAACATTTAAATTTAGATATTTCATCAGTGGTAGTATTTTTTTCTTCAGTTTGTTACCGGGACATTACGGGACATTACAGGATATCCAGTGGATTTTTTACATGTTCCGGGATGTCATGGGACATTCTGGGATATCCTAAGGCATTCGTACATATCCCGGGACTTTACAGGATATCCTGAGGTTGACTTACAAATCCCGGGACATTACGGTATATTGTAGGATATCCTGTGGATTTCGTACTCGTCCCGGGATTTTGCGGGATATCCTGAGGATAGCGCACATATCCCGAGACATTCTCAGGACATATGGGACTACTATGGGATGTCCCTGGGATAAAGTGTGCTGTCTGGGTGTATCAACACGTTTGAAGAAGAATGAAACCAAACTAAGAGAAGAAATTGGAGTAGAGGAAAGGCAACGATCTAAAATATGCGTCGTTCAACGCTTTCCATTTTTCTGTATCTCTCTACCTGCAACCGAAAAAAGGGTTAAATTACAAATCGGTCTGAAAACTGTTTTTATTTTAGGTACCTAGCGACTGGATGCTCCATGTGGTCGCTTCATTTCCAATATCGTCTGGGTAGAAAAACTATCCGCACTATAATACAAGAAACGTGCCCAGCACTTTGGGACACACTTCAAGCTGAATACATGAAGACTCCGAGTGAAGAAGATTGGATTAATACAGCAGATAAATTTGAAAAGAAAACTAATTTCCCCAACTGTCTCGGGGCTATAGATGGGAAACACATACGTGTTGTGAAACCGGAGTACAGTGGCAGTAATTATTTTAATTACAAACATTATTTTTCCATGGTGCTGATGGCAGTAGCTGACGCTGATTACTGATTACTGAAATACTGCGTCAATCCTAGCATTCCTATTTTGTAATTCTCTTCAGATTTGTTGTATACAACGGGGTGTTTCTCCACTTCTAATATAATAATTTCACAGTCCAGTTCAGGCTCCATTGATTACAATTCAATCCACAAAAATCACAAACTAATGACACTAAAAAGTCGATACCGATTGTAGCGTGTGTCTTGTGCCTATATAATATGCCGGTCGGCTGTGCGTACACTGACACTTGGCGCGGCACTACAATCTACAGCTAGTGGAGCCACCTGTTGGCTGCAAAATGTAGCGCGAAAATGGTCCGAGTTCCATTCCCGCGCGACGCTACATTCTACGGCGCGCGGTTAAATGTAGCGCGCTGCAGACTGTCGCTAGTGGAGCCACCTTCGTTTGATCGCAGTCTTCCCATTTCTTCAACTGACCCGCTACAATTTGCAGCGCGGCAATCTACGGCAAGTGGAGCCTAAACTTGTATTTAGTTTTATTGTACCTAATTCCACCTAAACCAGTTGATTTCTCACTAAAGTGAAAGGATTATGTGTTTTGAACTTTGTGGACATCATAACAACAAAGTAATTAACTTAAGTTCCAGTCTTACCATGAGAGCTATGGCGATAGCTTTTCCCTTGGAAATTCATCAAAAGGAATATAATCAATACACTCAACTTAAACAAGGGTTTCAGGCTGTTGATATACAACACATAAACGCTTAAGTTCACAACACATTAGTCTTGATTTTTCACCCTTCAAGGGAATAATTGTTCAGATGAACATAGAAAATCTCATAAAAACTCTACTCTTATTCTTTGAACAAGCCTTTAGAAAGAGGCAAAATAATATGTTTAATGTGTTGTGAAATTTTGTGTAATAGCAACAACTTGGAACTAGTATCTAGTGATAACTAGTATCATTTTCCGTAGCTAGTATCTTAATCGATTTCCAAGCCAAATCTTCTAAAAGAATGATCAAGCACAACATACAGCTCATGTTTTTGATCATTTAATTCGGCAATAAGGTAACAGTTTACATAATGTGTGTCAGAATACTTGTAGATACCCCTGGATACAAAAATACAGAAAATTATACTTCTTTCTGAACAAAAACTTTTTTTACCAAAACAAATATTGCTACTTTCTTTCACTTAAGCTCCAGTTTTTTAAATTGGAGATTTTCCACTACCTAAGGGAAAAATAACAAGGGGCTTACATACAACCAAAATATTTAAATAGTATGTACTTTATAAATTTTATTTAATCCATATAACTTAAAGAACAACACTATGGTACAAAAATGTAAGGTTACAATAAATCTAATTTTGTTCACGAAGAACTTTTCTAGGATTTGCCCCCTTAATCATTTTCCAGAAAGACACTACAAAGCCTTGGATGTCACCAGTGTCATTGAAGATCTTCACAAGCTGCTTCTCACATTTCAACTTTGGTTGCATTTCCAAATCTGAAAACAACACATTTTGTATAATATAATGGAAAGTAGAATATGGAAAGTAAATAAAAATACGTCTAATAACACCTGAAACATAATATGTTTTAACTTAAAATGTTAACTCACAAGACAGTAAATATATATACAGTAGACCCCCTCTTAACCGACCTCACATTAACCGATAGTCAGATTATTTGCCCTCGCTCGTAAAATATTACAGTTTGTTTCACCGACCTTGTTTAAAGAGCAGTTAAGTTTTTCCGCCGCTTTCTAGAGGTGGGCGTTATTTAACATAATAGGATAAATAATCCTATTACTGAAGATAAGAGTAACCTATTACCTTGGTAATAGAATTATTTCACCTATTACTTAAAAGCTGAGGAACGTTCCTGACTGTTACTGCAAAGTAACGGTATTTCCCATCTCTACCACTTTCTAGGAGTCTCGGCATTTCCGCTCCCTCGCTCGGGCGAGGGGAACAATACGCTTAACTCTACAGGATGTTACTGTTTTAAGAAACATTCTGTCTTGTAACAAAATGGTTGCTTGTATCTTCAATTTTGACAATAAATTATGTAATGTATTAATATAGATTTGGAAAGCATAAATAAATATTTCTAAGGTATTAAAATAATAATGTTTATTGACTCTTAACTACGACTAAAATTATTCCACTGAAAGTATTTGACTTTACAGTGTTTTCGGTTTATTTTTGACTATTCTATTGTCAATACAAGAAAAAAAGGACAAAAGTAGTTAATTTGGTAATAACACACGCACAACTTCAATCACCATCAGACCCAATAGGCGAATGGGGGGACCTTGATGGTGTCCCTACTTATATATACTATTGTATTGACTACCATAAGTACCGTCCAAGAAGTTTCTTTAGGACAAAACAACTAAAGAGCAAATTAATAGGTATAAATGGAGACAAAAATTAATTGTTCATTTATTAGCTTATTTATACTTTTAAATTTTGTGTACCGGTATACAACTATTCCCAAATGTTCATTAGATTTTCTTTCATTTTCCCCAATGAGTGGCCATTTTGTAACAAGTGTTGATCGACATTTTATCTTCCCGGTTTGTCATTTCACACCATGGAGATATGGTTTTAGAAAAGTTTACACTTCGTCAAATGTAAAAGCTATCACAATAATTGTTAGTATTTATTTTGTAGATCCCATTGAACTTGTTACATTTTTTAATCCGTGGATGCAGATTAATTTCTCAAGGTGTTCTGAGCCCTAAATACTATTGATACTCCATATTTTTCTCGAATGTGTTAGTAATCCTTTGTGTTGTGGGTCCCTACTAAAGGAAAATAGAACCAAAAACTATCAACATGACTAATATAAAATATTACACTTACATTGGAAAGTTTTCCCGTCTTCTTGGGCTGAAAATCTCAAGTATTCCCGGGCTTCATCTGCAGTCTTTACTGAGGTGTCAAATGTAATTATCAACGTATCTTTTGTTTCCAGCATTACTTTACAATGCAAGTACTTTTTGTAAAACAAAATACCTCGCTTATACATATCCATCTCGTTTTTCAAGTTACTTTTCTTCTTTTCAATGTCTGAAACATAAAACATTGCAAAAGTTGAGAGGTGAATCGTTATGGATAATACAGTCATAGTTTCAAGTAGAAATATCAATGATTGAGGGACCTTGACTAAAAACAAAGCTAATTAAGAATAATTGAAAAAGAACAGGTGAGGATCAAAACCTTCTTTAGTTAAGAAAATATTTATTAGCTACCGCCGAGAGCACAGAGATTACGGGAATACTAAGTATTCCTAAAACAGCAAAAGATAAAGAAAAGGTAATTAATTGAGTTACTTTAAAATATGTTCATGGGAACCTTTTGTCTAACTACTGGCCAAAAACTATTTTCATGTATTGGCATGTTAGAAAACTAGTAAATATAGCCTGCTGATAGCCTAACATTAGCCTTTGCCTTATTCATAGGCCATTATTATCAAACATATATTCACTGTCCAACATCTGATTGAACATTTATCAGGGTAGATTATATAGAAAAGAAACCTCACCTTTCAAAGGATGTAAATCATTTACCAAGTAATTTCTATTGATTCCCAAAACTTCCTCTTCAAAATAAAATTTAGATCAAGATTAGAAAATTTTAACAGCCAATAAATTGAGCTGTCTGTAATAGCCCTAAATGACAAATTTATGTTAATAAAGCTGGTAGTGTACACTACAGATCAGATAACAAATAATTTCCATTAGTATTCATGGCAATATTTTTCATTTGCAACCCTTTTGAGTACCAAAGGACCTACCTAATGGTTATAGTGGCCATTAAGAGTAAGAGTAGAGTTTTCTTTGTGAGGTTCACTCAACAACACCGTTTATAGAACCTTGGAGTCAATTTTAGAACTATATTAGAGTCTTGATAATTAATTTACGGCAAGATCAGACTATTGTCATGATATGAGCTCGATCACGGTACTTGCTCGTCACCACGGCAAGTTGGGTAACTAAAAATGAGTTAATCAAAATTCAACTGTACTACTAAACTTATGATTTCTACTGACCAATGTTGTGAGTGCAATAGATCTGAGCAAAGACCGGAACAAACCATTATTTTCCCTGCCTGAAGACAGCAGCATGGTTGAGGGGTTTGAAATCCACATCAGATAGTTCTGGTGAGTAACTCGATAGAAGTTTTTCTCTCTCTAATATATGGGAAGAGCACACCCAAAATAAACGAAGGATGGCTCTGTGAGGGTGGAAGTTGGCAGGATGGATAATATTCTTTCAGTTGAACATCAAAACTGACGTGTTACTAATATGCATTATAACTGAGTGTGTGGGTTCCAAGACTTCAAAAGGAAAAGAATTTCGGTGTTCATAAGAATGTGGTGATGTGGAGTAGTATGAGTGTAATGAAGGTACCTGGGCCCTATATACCTTCCTCTTACCACTACCGATTCACGCACATTTCCTGTCGTTGTTCAACTCTACTGCAAAGAAACTACTACCTCGTCAAAGTGCACAATATTACCTTAGCTGCCTATCACAGCCAGCTTTTATGTTATTTAATATATCTAATTATAATATAGTGAACAGAGAAATAATCATATATCTGGACTTATTCTAACTCGTGAAAAGTAACTAGATTTAGCAAAAATGTGAATTCTAAATTTGTGATATTGATTGCCAGACCACTGATTACCAGACCACGACCATTGGTGAACCTAATAAATTACATAATTAAATTAAGTTTGCCCTTGCCTACACCCTTCCCCAAACCCTACGAATCTATCTAGACATAGTCTTATGCTACTACTTATCCGGGCAAGTTGAACTGCTGCTGGCCGACACACTACTACCACTCTACTCCGACGGCAGTCGCCGCGCGTGCTTGTGGCGGGGAAGGTGCGCACGCCTAACTTTGTCACGTGACTTGTGTTATTGTCTTGTAGCGAGTCGCTACAAGAAGATGGTAAAACATAATCAAAGCACATAAATTGGTCTTTTTGCTAAGGGGTAACTATAATTTTAACTGTTCAAGTAGGCCTACAAATATTTTATTGGAGGGTTAAACGCCTTACCTTCCTTTAAAGAGCATACTTTTCTCATTAGTTCCGCTAGTTCATCTGTGTCTGGAGACTGTTTCTCAGTATTAGAAAGTATTTGCTTTTGAGTTTTGATGTTATTTCTGATCATGTTTTCCTCAAGCTGCATTTCGTACACTTCTTTTTTGATGTGTTCAGTATCCCCAGTTAATTGTTGGATTTCTTCCTGCAGTACTCTCTTTTGCTCTAAAACAAAATTATGGTGAATCAATTTTAGCCTCCAAAAACTAATCTTAATAACTACTAGTAGTGTAATGCAAAATATTTTTTTTTTTTTTATTAATGTGATACGAGATTCACACTGCTAGTAACTATTGAACATTGTGATTGTAATACCTTGAATTAGTTGACTGATTTATATAGTAATTTACTGCCACTAGTGTTGGACTTGAATTTTGTTGAGGTGTAGGGTTGGTAGTAAAATATACCCGTAAAATTCCAGTCTGGCAAGCTTAAAAATAAACTTGTTGACCCGTCTTTTGCCCTCCAATTGGCAATACAATGGGACCGGCTACGTTTCAAGCAGTGCTGCTATCTGTGAGTGTTTTAGCGAACTAAGTTGACTCTCGTCGTAAAGCAGGACATCACGGCACGTTATTTTCTATTAGTCAGACCGAAATTTGAAAGCCAATCACCCGATAATCGGAGTTGTTCGATGCTACAGGCTGCGCCCGCACTGGGCCGCAGCAAACGTGTTAAGTTTAGATTTTGGATGACTGATGGTAACCTGCTACCCATTGATTTTATTTATTTTTATAACTTGAACATTAACAATTGATGTAACCCGTCTGCGTTGCATGACTAGTTTGGCAATTTACTAGTTTTAACTTATTACCCATTCTTATTTTGTGTGTGCAAAAAATCATGATGAGTGTAATGCAAATTTTAATTCTTCTTTGATAAAGGGTCTTTGCATTTCAAATCAACCAACTGTTTGAACTAAGACCTCTTAGATTTGGCTGAAATTTTGGTCAGGCATTGTACCTACTAAAACTAAGATTAAATCTAAAATTTTACATTTTTCTGACTTTTGGTTACCGTTACATCTATTGAGTTTCAAGGGTTTAGAAGTTTAAAAAATGACCATTGTTTAACAATTCTGTGACTCAAAAACCATACATTTCAAGAGATCAACACTTGCACCATTTTGTTTTTTATAAATCCCCTTTAATTTTACGTACAACCTGACTTGGTTACCAAAAACTTTTTAATTTTTGTTTTATTTCCTCAAATAAGCAGGCCTACACATTGATTAGTCAAAGAAAATCATTCTGTAGGTATGTGTTGTCTAGTTTGACAAAATGCATGCTGTGTAAATGACTGTAGAAAAGTTATTGCCGCTTTTGGGATTTTCCCGACAAAATATTATAGTTAATCCAACCACTTAACAAAGTAAGGGTTGAGTTGAAGAGAATAGAAGAAAATATATGTCAGACTGTGGATGCAATTTATTTTAAAGAAAATTATGGACTGAGAAAATGCATTCATATTCTCAAAATAAGAGTACAATGTATACAATTTGGGGGAAAATTTTTTTAAGGTTAGCTCAGAAAAGAATACTTTATGGAATTTTTACCTGAACATTGCTGATACAACTTGTCACACTTGGCTGACTGCTTTTCAAAAAAACTTATAATAGGTTTTCTGTATTCTGCAATCCTTGACTGTTTTAGGTTCAGTAGTTGTTTCTCAACGTCTTGTAGTTCCAGTGGAATAATGGACAGGGTAAATTGACTCTGAAACTAATGAAATACCACATTTAAATTAATAATTAACTGCAATATCAATTTACCAATTTACAAGAAACAGGACAAAATTAGCAATTCTTCAGGTACAGTTCCGCAGAGAATCTGCGATATATTATAGGTTTAAATATTGATATACAGTGATTATTATTTGGGTCAATAAATCGCTTCAAAATTGTTCCCCCAATACAACATCACATTGAGTTATGGTCTGTTAGCAATTCTAAACTGTTTAGTAAGTAAACTATCTTATCAATAATTTATTCAATCAAAAAACAAAATGATATTTTATGAACGTAATAAAACAAATAATAACCAAATCCTATTGAGATGGTTACCACATAGGTTTTATAAATATAATTTCTTTCATTTTAGCGAATTTCCCATATAGGGAATAAGCTATTACCGTAGTACTCATGGTAAGACCTGGACCCGGGACCAATTTACTTTTTCGTTTTGAGGTCCCTAGAGACCAAAAACACCATCCGTTAAAATTCATATATATATATATATATATATATGTGTCCGTTAGCACGATAACTCGAGCAAAAATGATCCGATTTTAATGAAATTTGGTATAAACTTGTAAACCTACATTTATTCGAACGAGTTCGCGAACCAGCATGATCGGACTATGGGAACGGGGGTTTATGGGGGGTTTTATGGGGTAAAAATAGGTTTTTCCCATTTTCGACCCTAAAAACACAAAATTTCACAATTTCTTTCCAAACCATCTTGTAGAGCTTAAAAAAACAAATAATTTTGTATATTGAAGCGTTGTTGTGCGCCTAATGGTTACGGAGAAAATTCCAAAAAATTGTAAATTTAAAATTCCCATGTTATTCTTATGGGGAATAAATCAACGGTTGTAGTTTGCTTTTTAATGAACATATTTTGATGGAATTTGGAAAATACACTAATTGTTTTCTAAACTATTAACATTTTACAACAAAAAAACTTTTTTACCCTCCCTGTTGCAGCAAACCTAAGTACTCGTTAAACTAATTCTATTTAAATAGGGAATAAATGTGATATATTTTAGTGTAAATCCAATCAGGCAAATGGAAATTCGCTTAGTCTGAAGGTTTGCTGCGACGGGGGTATTTAGTTGTGTAAATCTTCTATATTATATTTATATTATATTATATATTATATATTATATCTTAAGTTAAATTTTGATTTCACAATTCCACACAGCTGGTTCAAACATTTATTTAAATACTGCACTAATATTAGAACAGAGAGGGTAAGGATCATATTTAAAATAATGATGTCACTAGCCTGAATGTAAACATTATTTAACATTTACTTAAATGGAGCTGTCAAACCATATGTAATTTCATTATAATAGGATTCTTTCAGTTACATCATTTGTTTATGTTTATAATCTATGGTAATGAGTCTGTTCTAACATTTGTGATATGTTGTAATAATATTTTACAGTGAATATTTCATTGTAAAAAGAAATCATTCATGGATATAGGAAATAATTAAGATTCTACAATCATAAGGTTTCCGTATCAACCTAGGCCCTTATCCTGAGTTGTATGAAATTACAGTTTTAGATTTATTTTTGTGTAAACAGTAATTTAATATCTCTGCTGCAGCAAACCTATAGACTAGCGAGTTTCCATTTGCCTGATTGTAATTTTCCTAAAATATGTTAGAAAACTACACTATTGACAGGTTTGGAACTATTGTGATAGATTTTCGTTTAAAGTCCAAACTATTAATCAGGTTCTTTCATTATACCTTAAAATATATCATTATGGTTTTGTACACTAGGTAGCCTAAAATAAGTATTCACAGTATGAGTAAACAAAAAAGTACTAGACCTATTACTATTAGGCTAATACAGTTCAATTTCGCTTATAAAATAAATGGTAGGGAGTGAAACCATTTGGCATTTTCAAAGAACCAGCATTCATTTTTTCATACTGACCCCGTTGCAAGGCAAGGGTATAGCTGCTAGCAAATACGAATAGTAGCGCTGGTTGCAGTACCACCAGTCAAATTTTTAAGCGACCGACGCTACTAATTGGGACCGACTAGCAATAAAAAGCTGTGGTACACAATGAGACCTTTACTTTTTTCTATGGTTCAGGGGCAGTGGTAGAACATATGCACCAAACTTTCTTAAACCATGTCCTCACCCATAACTGCAATAAGCATTTTATACTTATATCCCAACCCCGTACGAAGGACGGGTACTCTGCTAGTTTAAAATATAACCGAGGATAAAAAGAAACAATTTTATTAATTTTTTTGTTATTGTTTTTATCTATGATATCATGCAAGATAGTAACCAAGAAGCTTGGCACCCGCTCTCCACCTTCCATTATGGACGGGGCCTCTATGGAGAGGATTGTAAAGTCCCTTTTCCCGACTCACACACTGCGCCCATTGCGGGAGTTCGGAAGGGTGGACGACGTACCGCTTTTCAGTCTCGTGGAGTTGGAGGCGGCCGTTCTATCCCTGAAGAACAACAAGGCTCCTGGACCGGATGGGGTACCTGGTGAGGCCCTTAAGAAAGTCTTTTCAATAAATCCACAAATCCTTTTGAGCACGTACAATGCCTGTCTGGCCGAGGGGAAGTTACCCTTCTGCTGGAAAACAGCTAGGCTTGTGCTCGTGGGGAAGGAAACCCAGACCTACCCTCCTCTTACAGACCTCTCTGTATGTTGGACACTGCTGGGAAAGTCTTGGAAAAGTTGATCCATTCCCGACTGAATTCAGCCGTGGTTGCTGCAGGAAATCTATCCCCTCGTCAGTACGGCTTCAGGAAGGGACGGTCAACGGTTGACGCTATTGAGGAGGTAAAGCGAGCCGTAATGAGAGCTGAGGAGTTTAACAACTATTCTCGTCGGGTTGTGCTGTTTGTAACACTTGATGTGCGAAACGCATTTAATTCCGCAAGGTGGTGCGATATGCTGGAAGCACTGGAGAACACTTTCCACGTCCCGGCATACCTCATGCGCATGATAGAGGACTACCTCCGGTACCGCCTCATCATTTACGACACTTCAGAAGGCTCCAGGACGATGGATGTAACTTCTGGTGCTGCTCAAGGATCCATACTGGGCCCGGACCTCTGGAACGTCGCCTACGACAGCCTCTTGAGATCCGAGATGCCTGAGGAAACTGTCCTAGTTGGGTATGCAGATGACGTTGCGGCTTTAATAGCTGCACGTAGCATTGAGCTTGCCCAGCTGAAACTAAATCGAGTCATGCGAACCATTAACACATGGATGGCAGAACATGGTCTCTCGCTTGCTCTGACCAAAACTGAGATTGTGATTCTGACTAAAAAGAGGATTGACACCATCGTGCCTTTGATGGTGGGGAACGTTGGGGAAGTCCAAACCACTCGTGCCGCAAAGTACCTTGGGGTCATGGTGGACAGCATGCTCAGCTGGCGAGACCAGATCACCTGTACGGCGGACAAGGCCGCTTAAATGGTTTCTTCCCTTAGTCGGTTAATGGCCAATGTCGGAGGTCCGCAGTCCAGCTGCAGAAGGCTGTTAATGTCTGCGGTCCAGTCCGTGCTGAAGTCTGGGCAGACGCTCTCAATAAGGAGATATATAGGATGCGGCTCGCCCGAGTGCAGTGTCAGGCAGCACTAAGGGTAGCATCTGCCTATCGAACAGTGTCCGAACCCGCCGTCCTGGTGGTTGCCGGAGTCATCCCCGTCAAACTTTTGGCGGCGGAGAGGAAGGCAATTTATCAGCGCCGTGGGGAGGACCAGGCAAGAATTGAGAAACACACCCGGACCTTCCAGCTGTGGCAGGAGAGCTGGGAACAGGAGACAAGGGGGCTCTGGACCAGGCGACTGATACAACAGGTCCAACCTTGGGTTAATCGGCGGTGCGGAGAGGTGAATTTCTACCTCACCCAATTTCTGACGGGTCACGGCTTTTTCCGGTCGTACTTGTTCAGGATGGGCAAAGCCGTGTCACCCGATTGCATATACTGCCCAAGCATTCCCGATGACGTGGAACACACTTTTTTCCACTGCCAGCATTGGGAAAGGCCCCGCCTAGAGGCTCAACAGTTCGTAGGACTGCTGTCGGTGGACATGGTCATACGATGGAGGGTGAGGACAATTGGACCTGTGTGTCACTTTACGTCCAGGGTGTTCTCCGCGCCAAGAAGAACCCTTGACCTTGACCGGGATGCGGTGTAGGTCAAAAGAAATAAATAATGCCAGAAACGGTGCGAGCCCTGTGGGCTTAGGTCACATGTTGGCCTGACTTGAAGTAATGTGACATCAATTCCAGGTCTGTGTCCAACAGAGTAGAGGGGGTTTTTTAGTGAGTAGTCTGTGATAAACTCAGGAGTCTCACACTACAGGCTGGCTACCTGTGTGCGTAAAAGCATTTTCCCTCCTCACCATAAAAAAAAAAAATCTATGATATCATGCGGTAAAATTAAATTCAATGCAATTATAATATCAAACCGAATTAAAGTAGAACCTTGAAAACAAGACTCTCATATGGATTATAAAATAAGACTTGTTAGTTGTTATCAAGGTTGACTTCTTATCGAGGTTTGCAATAACATGTGATTAGGGGTAAAATAATTTGAAGGGGATTTGAAAATGACCCTTGTTATCAAGGGTGACTTGTTATCGAAGGTCTTGTTGTCGAGGTTCTAGTGTATAATCGATATATTGATATTTAATTTGATAGCATATTAATATATTACAGGTTCTCAGCCAAACTCCCAATTTCCAATTTAAAAAAGACCTCAATCACCTGAGGGTGGTTCACGGTTACCGTACCTGAATTGACGTATACAGAAATTTCTTGGAAAATATAGAACTTAGTTTAGAATTTTACTGAGATTTCGAAAAATAAATAACACAGTGTAAAATATAACTGAAAAAGTAACAAAACTCAATAATTTTAGTTTAAGATAAAGTGGACTTTACCTGCCCTATGTGTTTGACTACACTACATTTTGGGAGATAAGGGCACTCCTCCCCTTTCAAGTAACCTAAATTAAATCTAGCCTATATAACTTGCAAAACTTAGTGCAGTCAAAACATTTAACACAAGTTATGAAAAGTTAATTTTATCTAAAACTAAAATTATCAAGTTTTATTACTCTTTCAGTTTGATTGAATTTTATTCAAGGGATTAAGAATAAGAATCTTTACTGTATTACCATTTTAACATTTCACAGTCCAATAGGGTCCGTCAATTTGCTGCATAATAAATTGGTAAATAATCTTAGGCCTATATACTAAAAAACTTTTGCAAAACTTATGACAGCTAGCCTGACCATACTACTGGACCGAATTACACGCGGTTGTTACCAAATTTAAGATATTTTCCTGTAGATGTCTAGTAGAGATGTATGTAGAGTCTAGTAGATGTACTTCCTGTAGATAAATGTGTCATTTACTTAAAGTTATCAAACTATAAAAAAAATCAGAATAGGCTATATTATCTACAAAATACTATTTGCAGCAACTTAGAAAGTAACTTAAATTATTTTAAACAGGTTTTCACCCTTGGTCTCCATGTACTGTCAACCAAGTGACATCTAGTCTATATGTGGGGATTAAAATTAATGCCTTAGTCTGTGGGAATGACCACATCGTCCCATATATCTGGCACTTGGTAGTAAACGTGTTAAAAGGCTAATCAAATATTGAATCCCAAAATTTCGTGATTGCTAACTGGCTTAACTTAAATTAGACGAGTCTAAGTGTAGAGTGAGTGAGATAACTATCTTTGCCTACACCAGTAAAGTGCTTGTTCTACACGCTACCTAAAAACCATTTTGAATTTTTAATTACCTAATTTTCAGCAGCAGTAGGCTACTCCAGCTCTCCAACATAATAAATTAATAACTTACCTTAATTTCGTCTTCCATATATGAAAGAGAAACTGCCAATCTAGAACACCTAGTTAGCAGCATAGACTAACCAACGCAAGGGTGTGTGTTTAAACAATGCTAGTTCAGTATGCTAATAGATTAATTGGCTGTGGCAGATAGCTTGGTCGGCAGTAAGTTTACAGTGAGTAGGGCCTAGGCCCAAACACTTATTAGGTAGGTAACATGGATGTTTTAGCGCTGAAAACATTATTGTTTTCACAACGATGTTATCGGTACATCAATGGTTAACTCTTCGATGCTCATCCGTAGTACTAAGCAGATCAGTTAGGAAGCCTTACCCTAGGCCTACGATATGATGTATAGGCAACAGTAGACTCCCTCTTATCCGACACCTTCATCGGTTTAACTGGACTACACTCAGCGAAAATGACATCTCTTTAACAGGACAATTTTTATCAGCATTTCGGTTTATCCGGACTATATCAACAGGAAGTTGTGGTACCGAAACGACTGTTCTCGTGAGAAAGATTTGAAACCAGTGATCACGTGTCTAAATACAATGCTCTTCTAAATTTAGGTCAAATACCGTATAGGCCCTACAGTATGCATAATAGGTCTGTTTTAATGAGTTTTCGGGGACGTCGGTTTAACTGGAAAAACCGTTATCCGGACTGGCCTCGGTCCCTAAGAGTCCGGATAAGAGGGAGTCTACAGTAACTTACATACGTATAAATAAGTTACCTCATCACCCATGATTAGAGATGGCCAGGTTACACTGTAGGCCTACTCTTCAAAATATTTATCATACAGTTATCAAAATATGAGTGTAACCAAATTATTCTGCCACACTCTACAAGAAGAATCTTGATGTTTACTGTAGTAAGTGGGTTTCTTCAACTCCCGGCAAACAAAGAAAATATTCCTTAAAATAAATATAGTACGGGTCTTTTAAAATGTCAACTTCACTCAAACAAACACCAGATACACAGGAGGCGATCCTGAAAACTAGGAGTTAATGTCAATGCTTAATTTCTCAACAAACTGTAACTGACAAATTAAGTTACTAAGCCCTCCTCCTTTAGTTTAGAGTTTAAACAACACGAAACACGAACAGCAACAGCGGAACAGCACAGGCTCAGACAACGACAACACAACTTTCAACTTTGTTATTGTTTCGTTTCGTATTCGTTTTGATTTGATTTGATTGAGTTGAGGTTGAGGTTGAGCGATCGCGATCAGATTTTTAGAAATCAGAAAAATGTAAAATGGCGGGAAACAAGAACACAGATATTAGGGCCTAAAGCGAGGAAGCTAAAATGAGCATTGATTATAGAACAATAGTTTTGTAACGGTTTTGCAGTAAATCTCCGTTGCTCTTACATTATAGTTTGTTTATACTAAGTACCTGGGGACCGAGCTTTGCTAGGGGAAAATCATTAGTCCACTCTGAAAGCAGTCTAAGTACTGTATTGGAGACACATAGATCCATTCCCAAACTCCACACGGCTCGCCTTCACTACGTCCTACACCATTTCCTACGTCATGGACCTGTTTCCCTCCATTTCCATAGCACTTTAGGATTGTAGATACCTTAATCTAATCGTTATTAACAGTTCCCACACTCCGGACAGCTCGTCTTTACTACGTCCTACACCATTTCCTACGTCATTGACCTGTTTCCCTCCCTTCCCCATGCCATTTCAGAATTGCAGATACCTTAATCTAATCGTCATAAACAGTTCCCACACTACGGACAGCTCGCCTTGACTACTTCCTTCGCCACTTCCTACGTCGCGGACCTGTTTTCCTCCCTTCCCATAGCATTTTAGGATTAGATACCTTAATCTAATCGTCATAAACAGTTCCCACACTCCGGATAGCTCGCCTTTGACTACATCCTTCACCACTTCCTACGTCGTGGACCTGTTTTCCTCCCTTCCCATAGCATTTTAGGATTGTAGAAACCTTAATCTAATCGTCATAAACAGTTCCCACACTCCGGACTACTCGCCTTGACTACTTCCTTCACCACTTCCTACGTCGCGGACCTGTTTTCCTCCCTTTCCATAGCATTTTTGGATTGCAAATACCTTAATCTAATCTTCAAAAACAGTTCTAATGGATAAAACAATACTCCTTTATACAATCGATCACGGCCGCCTTTAACTACCTGGCCGCGGCCTGGTAGAATTGGTAACATCACAAGTGGTGTTGTTTAGTGACATACGTTCCATAAGATAACATGGCAGACAGGTGACATCAGCTCATTAATTCGCACTTTATTGATTTAGATTTAAATTCATGAACATAAATTTATTAAATATTGAAAATAAAACATACAGAATTGAAAACCCAAACAATACGAATTAAAATCTATATCTGTAAATTTTTAAGCGGACTAAATTATTGTCATAGTTTAGTAACCAATCTTTCGTAAATACAAAAAATACCACTGCTTCCAAACAAAACAGCTGTTACAACACCACTTGCGACGTTGCCAGTTGAAAGGCCGCGGCATGGAGTTAAAGGCGGCCATGAATCGATTCGTGGTACTATCAACTGTCAATTGTACCTATTATGGAATAGAAAAAAATGTTGACATCAGCCACCATCAGCTAATTCAATAAATAAGTTTTATGGTTTTATCTTTATGTAAATATGTATAGGCTAACATAGATAACGAATTGTTATGTTATTTCTTGCCAAATAATTGACTTAGGACTAATAACCAACACGAAATACTCACAAAACAGGTGTCACATTAACAGCTCATATGCCATTCCAATCACGGTGGAAGCTTCCACCATGATTATAACCACTTTAATTTTTCTAGATGATGTCATTCGTTGGGATAAATAAATAAAAATATGATTTTGTGGGATGTCGACACCTTGCCACCTCGCAGGATGAGGAGTCTTCAAACATGATTAAAGTTTATTTACATACATCAATGGATTTTGAAAATTAATTCTTAACTTATCCTTTTCTTTATTTTTGTTTAAGTACGCCAATCTGCGTTCAAGTTTTAATTTATAATATATGATATTATAAAGCTACAAATCTATGATTTTAAACAATTACTTTGATAGCCAGTTATTATAGATGTCTTCACAATCGTTCATAATTAGCTGTATCATAACCTAGATATTTATTTAATCAATGCCCCTACTATTGCTTGGCGTTAGCTACATGGGTTTTTATTTGCTTGCGCAAAAAAAAATTATTACAAATGTCAAACAAAACGTCAAAATCAGTCACTCCACTCAAAAATGGTGTTTCTGCTGTGTTGTGTGTGCTGTTTCTAAACCTAAAATAATCATAGCTGAGTGATGGAGAAGGGTTCGGGCTAAATTAATAGGATAGTATAGGTTTTTAAATATTTTTTATGATTTAATATCTGAAGGTTAAGAGGTATCGTTAGTTTTAAGTATATTAGGCCAACCTACATATAGGCCTATGCCTATTAATTACTGAATCTGAATCTAACAAATCAAATTTATTTATCCATCACTGTTATGCTTATGAGAAACAGTTGTTTCGAATTTATTTTCTCAGTTACATACCTAATTACATGAGAAATTAATCAATCTTACAAAGGCATATCACAGTCTCTCTAGCCTCATGAAATATTGCAATCTTGGTAAGTTATCAACAATTATGCATTTGGGTACAGTTCCACAAAGAACCTACAATATATTATCGGATGAAATATTTCCATCTCATATTTCTTGTCTTGATTATATCTGTTGGTTGTATTGTAAATGTAATGTTTTACTTAAAAAGTTCAGTATGATGTACCGTAGGCCTATTACGATTAGTTCTTAATTCAGTGATGTGCGAACGATGAACGGTGTTAGTGAAAACAATCCCGTGAAAATAATATTGTTAGGCTATCCATAAACAATTTTAATTTATTTGTTTTTAATTTTAGCCCAAAAATGTATGTTGAATAACAATAGGCCTATGTAGGCTAGGCCTATTCCTCGGAAGTTTGGGAAGAGGAATAAGTTACCTACAGTAATGCTAACAGCATTTAACATTAAGTTATTAACAGTGTCTACATTGACCATCGATGGATCCATTCTTTTTAACAATCTAAATACTGTATGTAAGTTAATGTAGGGTAAAAAAAAGAGTAGCACGACACGACCGATACATCAACCACGCCCCAGTAAAAACCTCTTAAATACCAGTTTGAGAAGGAGGGCACAGATTAAAATCCTGCACCTGGGGCCTATTACCCTTATGTGGCCCTAAAGACACCATTTCAGTTGACTCTATAGATGTTTGACCAAACACAGATTCCCTTTAAACCAGTGCAGTGATAGTGAAATCCACTCTCAACCCAGATATCATAGGCCTACATTTTAATAAAATAGAGTTCCTCCAGAGCATATTTTAAGGGATTTCCATTGGGCAACAGTGGACTTACCGGGGGTCTCGGGGGGGGGGGGGATTTGTGCATAAGTTAAAGTAAAAATCACACATTTCTACGTATCTTTTAATCAATTTTTTAATTATATTTGCTTGTAAATAGTCCATATAATCTCACTTAATTGCATATTCTAGTACGTTGTGACAGACCAAGGCGGGTGTAGGCACATGATCCAGGCTGTAATCCTCTTAACCCGTGTCAGTTGACCTCTGTCAGTTTTAGGTTGACTCAAGAAGGTACGAGAAATCGAGACGAGACATACCTGATCGGAACACCCCCATAATACCATGCATAGCCTTAGCCGAACTGTTAGCGGCAAATTCTTATCTCTATCACTGTCGCTGTCAAAACGTATTGTTTTTGGGTTAGATATAAATTTAATTGAATAACTGTCATAACCTAACTAAACTAACCAAACTTGCTGATAATGAAAAAATCGAATGAAGGTTTACTAATCGAAAAATAGTTCTGATCATAAAATAAAATTATAAATGCCTTAAATTCTAATAAAAGATGTACAGTTAAGAAGTAATTACATTCTAAGTGAAATCTTTGAATAAAAGTTAACGCCAGAATTCTCGATTCCCCACCCCTCCTCCGATGACTACTACCCTCAGACCATAAATCAGGGGATTAACCCAAACAAAGATCTGGATCGTTGTCCGTCTCCCGGCCAAGGCTCCCTTCACAACCTCTTGGGCCAAAATCATAGCTCAATATTTACATAATGTTATTTTTAAAATTCCGATACATTTAATCAGACTCATGTAATCAGGAAACACTGTTTTTAGGAAACAGAAACAAGTAAGACAATCTCTCTACCTCTGGTGACTGCTACGATTAGGCTCTGGTATTTTTATTCTGTGCAACCTCGGAAAATATTAAATTCCGGACATGCTTCAGCTGCTTATAAGAATAACTTACGGCGTATAAAAAAGTGGTTGTGTTTGTTTAAATTGTCACTTTGTTGGCTTGTTACAGATCACGAAAAAATGAAAAATGGTTGCCAACTCTTCTCTGCCTAAAAGATTTAAACCCTTTGTGTGTGGAATTTTGTTTGCATCTGTCACTTGGTCCATCAGCTTATATCTATACTGGTGGTTGACGCAAACAACTGGAGGGTTTGTCTCCACAAGAAAACCTGTTGCTGCAGAGCTTCATCAAAGCAGAGTAATTAGTAATGATATCGTTCTTCCATATGAAAATGATGAAAATAAACTCAAACGATCAAAAAGTAAATACTTTGCTCCCAACAAGTTTAAAAACAGTGATTCACTCATTAATCACTTACAACCTGAACCGATCAAACCAGCCGTTGATGTTGATAGAGGTAATAATCATTCATATTACTTTTATTTTCAAACTAATTACTTTAGGCTAATATCATAGCTAATATTATGGTCTTTAAGGGTTTTTACCTAAAACTTTAAACTTATCACGTAATTAGCGTACTCATAGAAGTTTTAAAAGCATTAGCTAATTTTCGACTCGTGTCTTGAAGATCTTCACGCGATCGTTGCATAAACTACTATTACAACATAAGTCCGTTCTCTTGTACAACTCTTTTTAAGTCTATAAAAATATTTATATTTATTTAGGCTACTATATCATTCATTAGGCTACTATATCATTCATTAGGCCTACTCATTTTTAGGTTCTTTTCCGTTAATTTACTACCACTAGCCTACTTTTTCTTGCAATTCCGATATTTTTAACAGTTAGCCTAGTCTACTGGACATTAAGGCCTTCAAGCACACCCTGAGAGACTATCTGGTGGGCAGACCTCCATACTCACTAAGTGAGCTGGACGAAACACCACTTTTTGGCAACCCACCGCCATCTTAGTTAGTTTTTATGTAAAAGTAGTTTATTTATTATTTGTGACACAATCTATTCTGACTTTGTCAGTCAACGATGCAGTATTAAAGTATCTTGAACGGTTTCAAGTAAGTATGAATATATCTAATAAAATGAAACTATTCTAAACCAACCAAACTTGCTGATTATGAAACAATTCTGGTAGGCCTACCGTAGTGAATAAACAGAATCACAATAAAAAGATTAGTTGTAGTAAATTAACGGAAAATGACCCATTCTTATTTTTATTTTACAAAAACAAATTAAATATTGTAGGTATTTAACTACTGAACAATATTCAGTATAAGAAATATCCAGTATGGTAACATGCTCCAGTTTATTTAAGATAAATACTGGTAATGATTGTGGACCATTTCTAATTGCAAATAGCGATGGATTGTAATTCTTTCTATGATTCCACCCCCAAAAAATAGCATTTGGCTGCAAATAAGTTATTTATTGATTTTAATAGACACAGACGGAGCACATTTTAGTATAGTAGCCCTTACAGCATTTGTGTGGCTTGCCCATTTATCGTTGTAGGCCTACGCACAAAATATAAAAATCACAAATTTGTTATTTGACTATATCACAGCTGTGTTGTTGCAAATTGTTCTTTAGACTTTTCAGTTTACCCTATAGTCTACATAATGTAGATCAAAGTCTAACGACGGTTTCATTGCCATATGAATTTCCAGATCTCGCAACTTTGGGCTATGTAAAAACACCTGAAGATCTTAGGATTAGAGATGAAGGCTACAAGATGTACGGGTTTAATGCTCTAGCTAGTAGAAACCTGGACTACCATCGCAAAATACCTGACACTCGGCACAAGTTGTAAGATTGAATAAAAATTGATTCCTAGTATTACTTATCAACAACTTGATGATTGGATACATTTGATTCGATTGGTGCCGACCAGATTGTGTATTTTAAGACAAATGAAAGAAGAGTGAGATGATGGCTTTGTTACTTAGTGTCTCGTTTTCCTGGTCAGAAACCAATGATAACCTCTTTAGCGAAGGAGTGAGGGAGGGGGGCGCGACGTCACTCTTCTCTTGAGGGAACACCATTACCGCAACGATACGAGGAGAAGCCATTGTGTTCGTGGCGTGGTGGTTAGCGTACTCAACTAAATTTCCATGAGGTATCCAGATCGAATCCCACCGGTATTAACTTTTTGTCATAGATTTTGCTTAGAATGCAATTACTTCTTAATTGTACATCTTTTATTAGAATTTGAAGCATTTATAATTTTATTTTATGAACAGAAATATTTTTCTATTAGTAAAACTTCATTTGATTTTTATCTTGTATCTTTTTTATATTATCAGCAAGCCTGGTTGGTTAGGCTAGGACAGTTTAATTTTATAACCAAAAAATTATAAAGTTAATTTTATACTTTTTCTTAAATTGAGGGGCTCTACCACAATCCCCCCACTCCTTCGCAGAAGAGGTTCTTATCGGTTCCTGACCAGGAAAATGAGACGCTAGGTCTTTGTTACTGACTAAGATCAGCTGTGCAATATACAGGTTGGCTGAAAAGTAACATGCACCCCCCCCCCCCCAAATTGTGAACCTTTTCAGATATTTGATTGAGGCAACCTTCTTGGATATGAGAGGCTACAATAGTGATGGTTAATTTTGAAAATTTTGCTCTTAGGGGTTGCGGGCAGGGGGTAGCTTAAAAATAGCAAGTAGAGTCGAGTTTGGTATCATTTTAAAGGCCTTAACAAAACAAAACCAAAATCGGACCACTAATAAAATGGCATACTAAAATGTTTCAAATCCAAATAACCACGAGGGTGGCTGAAAAGTAACTTGCACCCCCCTTAACTTTTTAACTATTTGAGATATTTGAAATCAGTTTGCAGCAACCTTTTTAGATATGAGAGGCTACAACAATTATGTTGAATTTTGAAAATTTTACCCTTAGGGGTAGTGTAGGTTAAGGGTAGCTCAAAATGTTCAAATAGGAAGTATGGTTGAGTTTGGTATCATTTTACAGGTCTTGACAAAACTAAATAATTGACATAAGGAAAATCGGATTCGGACCACTGTTAACAAAATGGCAGTTAAAAATGATTAAGATACTGGTTATTTAAAGTAATTTTTAACCGCTATTTTGTTATTAGTGTTCCAATTTATATTTTCCTTATGTCAATTATTTATTTTTGCCAAGACCTGTAAAATAGTACCAAACTCAACCATACATCCTATTTGAACCTCAAATCTAAAAAGGTTGCCGCAATCCGATTTCAAATATCTCAAATAGTTAAGGGGGGCGCATCTTACTTTTAATCTACCCTCATTGTTATTTGATTTTAAAAATGTTTTAGGGCACCATTTTGTTATTATATAAGTGGTCCGATTCTGTTTTTCTTTATGTCAATAATTCTTTTATTTTGTCAGGACCTGTAAAATTATACAAAACTCGACTAGCCTTGCCAGTCGAAAATGTTTAAGTACCCCTGCTACCCCTAAGGGAAAAATTTTCTATGTTAACCATCATTATTGTAGCCACTCATACCTAAGAAGGTTTCCGCAAACCCATTTCAAGTACGAATGGTTGAAAAGTTAAGGGGGGTGGGTGTAAGTTACTTTTCAGCTACCCTGCATAAAGACAAAACTTTGGATATTTTTATTTTACCCGAATGCAGAGTATGCTACGATTTAAACAATAAATGTTGTTTACAAGTAATAGTAATTGTTATTGCTTTTAAGTCAAGACAATAAAAGTTTTGTGTGATATTGAGTGTAAACAAATTATAAAATACAAGAGAAGCAAAAGAAATTAACTACTAGAGTATTTTGGTGGTTAAAGAAATACTCTTGCTTCTACAGCCGTCTTCAGTTATAGGCTACTTTAAATCTTTTAGAACAGTTTTCCTTTATCTTTAGTTTACAATCTACTACAGTTTGCTCTAACAATGTTGATTTATATCTCTTTTTTATATACCTGATGATTTTCCTCAGATGTCAGTCTCAATCTTACCCAGAAAAGCTGCCCAACGCCAGCGTAATAATCTGCTTTTACAACGAACAGCTGGATACTCTGATACGCTCCATACACAGTATATTAGACCGTACTCCGAGCTTCCTTTTACATGAAATTGTACTGATTGATGACTACAGCGATGTTGGTCAGTAAATTGTTGTTACTTTACATTTTGTGCTGTTTGATAGTAATTAACACATTGACTGTTTTTTGTAAAAACGCTTGCCACGACAGTAAAACAGTTCATGTTATTGTTGCAGAATAGAAAATGTTTTCAATACGTCAGACCTCTGGCCTTGTCTTTTTGTCCTTATAATAAATTTGTAATGTTATATTTTAAGGAAACCCCATTTGAATCAATTCCCTGATCTGGTGAGAAAATGTAAGACATAAATTGCCCCCGTAAAAACCGTTTACTCGCAGCTGTTTAACAATTCACATCTATCCTTTCCATTATTAGTCATTCAATTTTACAAATTAAATACATGACATACATTGATCTAAGTTAAGACTTGTATATAAGTTACAGTGTGATTTGAAAAAAATCTGCGGTTTTCTGTTACAGATAGATTATACAGCAAAGTTGAGGAGTATATCACTACAAATATTCCTGAGAAACCAAAAATAAAACTATATAGGACATCAGAACGTGAAGGCCTGATCAGAGCACGGCTTTATGGGGCTAAACATGCTACCGGTGAGGTAATGTACACCATACAATAAGTGTTGTAATACTCAACTTTCCTTGCTCATAATTCTGCTTCCTATAGCATTCTGTCTTGAAAACTGTTTCTGATGTAAAATTTTTAAATTCAAATTTTTTTTATTTTAAGCCTTTTGGGCTGATAAGATGTTAGCCTCCAGATGAAAAAAAATTAGACAATCCATTGCGGGAGCGAGCTGGTCTAGTGGTTAGGGCGTGGGACTCCAGTTCCTGGGGTCCCGGGTTCAAATCCCGCCAAATCACCAATAGATTTTATCTAAGTGATAATGCCGTAACCCCTAGGTCTAGCCTGAAGTAATGTGAAAAACAATTCCGGGCTCGTGCCTAGAGTCGTAGGACAAAATTAAAATAGACAATCCATTTAATTGTAGACAACACTAGTTCCAGCTCCCATTTAGAGGCATCACTGTTTTTTCTTTATCTTCACATGAAGATCGTCAAATTAAAATAACTTGAACGTAAAACAGGAATCTGGCCATCGGGTTAGCTTCATCTGCTATCGATCAGTTGCCATAACTGTTTTGTGTGTGTGTGTTTCCCATTCTTTTAGATGCTTACGTTCATGCTAGTTAAATAATTTTACCATCTTCATGTGAAGATAAAGAAAGAGGATGTCCTTTTGCTGCCAATGGCTCGATATAGGGGCTGAAATTAGTGGCGTCTGCAATTTAATGGATTGTCTAAAACTGGTTCTGATGTAAAATTTGTACAATCAAACTTATTTTAGTTGATGGCTTTTTGGCCGAGTTCTACAGTAAAAAGGAAATTTGCCTTGCCTGGGAGACGCATCTTTTTTGTTTTCTATATGGATCAATCAACAGCTTTTTTGAATTGTGCTCCATAAGTTATCATCATCACATTATCACAACATTACAAGTCATCAATGATTGGTGGTATCTAAAACAAAAAAATAAATGAACTACTTGAAAGGTCTCGGTAATAATATAGCCTACAATGTTTAAGATTTATTTAACAAACCATACAATGGTTTTATTTATGTGTTATCCAATCTAGATCTACAGATATTTCCTTACAATAAAATCTTGCCTTGGTTGGTTTGGATCGGATATTCAAAGCATATTGTACTTGTAAATACAAATAACTCATAGTTTGTATCCAACAAATACCATTTATGAAATGTTTGCATTTGTTAGGTTTTGGTTTTCCTGGATAGTCACATCGAGGTGAACGTACAATGGCTGGAGCCATTGCTTTATCCGATCTCTGTGAACCACACAAGCGTGGTAACTCCAATTATCGACATCATCAATGCTGACACATTCGAGTACAAGTCTTCTCCCTTGGTGAGGGGTGGCTTCAATTGGGGGCTACACTTCAAATGGGAAAATCTTCCTATAGGATCTCTCGTTAATGAAGAGGATTTTGTAAAACCCATTAAGTAAGGAATATTCATAAATTGTAAAGTAGTTACCTCATAATACTGGTTTTACTATAATAGAGTGGATTGTTTTAGACATTTAAAGACTTTTGATTGGATTTTTTGTTATTAACGGGAAAAATAAAATAGCATATTTTATTTTTATTTAAAACATTTAAAATTATCTTTAAATGTATTTCATAGCGTTTTCCATTTTCATGGGGTTTCTATATGAAAATCACAAAAACATTTTGCAATAGCTTCTTGGTTTTTTAAAAATTTAAGATACCTATCATTGTATCTCCAAATCCATATTCCTAAATACATACCACCTTCATCTTCATCCGTTTGCACCTTTTTTAACTGTTCCAATATCTTGAGTTTATTAGCAGCTTGAAGAACTATTATGAGGTATAATACATTCTGCTTAACCTTTTACGATTATTTTAAGTGTCACAGTCCTTTTTTGATCCAAATTAATAAAAAAATGCATTAGCTACTTCAATAACAGAACCTTTTTCATGAACTCCTAAGCAGTCTCATGAATACACGTTGGCTTTGATTGTGATTGTATAAACTTTAATTTAAGCTACAGTACTTTTGACTTACTTATTCGTACTTTTCAGATCACCAACCATGGCTGGAGGTTTGTTTGCCATGGATAGAAAATACTTTTTTGATCTCGGAGGCTATGATCCAGGAATGAACATTTGGGGAGGAGAAAACCTGGAAATCTCATTTAGGGTGTGTAATTTGTTACCAACCCAAGATTGAAAGTAAGAGTTAACTTGTATTTATCTGGCTGATCATATATGATTGCCAAAGTGGTCAATGACCGCCAAATATTTAAGAATTTTGTTGCTTTGTATTGCTGTATGCAATATGCATTTGTGTACTGTTGGACGTCATCCCGTACGTAAGTAAGGATGTTCCTCTCAAATCGTCGCGTAGAGCATATTTTCCTATTAGCCTTTCTAGGAACTATCAAAGAGTAAGCTGTAAATAAAAAGGCTATACGTTTTGTAGTTCACATTTTTAAAGATTTTTTTTCCTACAGTCACCTGACAAAGTGGGCTTCCTTGCATTGATTGTAGTACAGAAAGTTGCTAATTGCCGCATTTACTTACCTTTGCCACACTCTTTTTACTTTTGCCGCCTTCCAGTATTCCAACCAAACAACCCAAAACAGCGTGCTTTTATTAGGCACGTAATACAAGTATGCTTGAAAATAAGTTGGCAACACTTAAAGACTGTGATCAACTGCATTCGATAAACTTTCCACACTAGCCTATGGCTTGTGCGTAAATATTTCTCTCGTGAGCAGAAAAGTGCCACTTTGCACATTAGTTACACAAATAACTATTGTTGTTTTTTGTTTAGTGAAATTATTTCCAACTTGATTAATAAGTGACACAAGTTTCATAATTATTATTATTTATTTGGAATCACAAAAAATGCAAGTCTAATACTATTTTATTTTTTAGCAAAAACCGACATTCTGCAGTTATTTGTAATGTAACTGATATTGTGGTGTGGGACATGTGAGATGTGTATGTTAGAGTTGAACTCTTTATCCATAATATTTATGTGACTCATTATTATACCAATTTGAAAGATCAGTGTTAAGGATTCAATAGACTTCTCTATATTGGGATATTCGCTGAAAAGAAATTAGTGTTGCTTTAATAATGTTATTAGCGTCATTATTTTAGATCTGGATGTGCGGTGGGACGCTGCACATTGTGCCCTGCTCGCGTGTCGGACATGTTTTCCGCAAGCGACGGCCTTACTCTGCTCCTGACGGAGAAGACACCATGACTAGAAATTCCTTGAGAGTTGTTCATGTCTGGATGGATGACTACAAGGTATTCATTATAAAGATTAAATTTTATTTTTATTTTAAAGGACCAAATTAGTTTCAAATGTATTGAAAGGGATGTTTTGTGTTTGTTTTAAAATAATACGCCTAAAAATTATGTTCTGTTAATTAATAACTGTTCCCTAACAAAAATACTTAGAAAAATGCCAAAAGCGAAAACAACACAAAGGGGTGATAAATGTAAAGGGAGTATGTTTTTTCTTTTGTTCTGAGCAATACACATGAACTGACTTGTAACTCAAATGTACAATGCAGTAATAAAAAACACATATTTGTACTATTTCATTCCTTTCGTCAGAGGATACTCAATAAAAAAAGCCTTCTCTACGATTTGGTTTCCTTAAACTTACTAAATAGTTCTAAATTTTTAAATAGCTGCTGAAAATAATTCCAGGAAAAGGTTTACAACATACGTCCAGAAGTGTTGAAGACAGGATTCGGCGATGTGAGCGAGAGAATCAGTCTTCGAAAACGTCTGAACTGCAAATCGTTTAAGTGGTATTTGGACAACATATACCCGGAGCTTGAGGCAGGGACAGCTGATAAACCTAAAACTGTCGGCAAACTGGACCAGCCTGTCTACCAACCTTGGCACCTACGCAAGAGAAACTACATAGGTCAATATCAGGTACTTTGTTTTACCTTATTGCGTAGATTCTTAAAGATGAAGTTTTGTACAGTAAAGTCTCATTTATCATTGTTTAGCCGAGGTTTATTTTGTTTTTTAGCATAGGCCTACTTCTTTTTCTTTGAATACTAATATACACTCTTATCACTTCACAATCCAAAGAACTATTTTAAAGCTGTTTAGAGCAAAAAATCTATTTATTGACCTTTTGTTTTTATTTTCTAAACAGGAAATTAAGTAAACATGTCCTAAAGTTGTTTAAATATCTAAGGTGTTGCCATAGACAAAATAATTAAATACAGAACGACAGCAGTGCTATGGTTAGCATATATTCTGATGTCCACCACTAGGAGTGCCGTGTAGTTTCGGCGCACATGGCTGCAGCGTCAAGTGCTAGCGAGCGTTGCCATGACAAGTCTGTAGTTGGAGCCAGGGTTGCCAACTTCTGGAGAATTCCCTGGAATCCGAGGAGTAGGAGTTTGTTCTGTTATTTTCCCGTGTTTTAAAAGTTTTTGGGAATTTAAAAAATCTGCTTTTCTTTTAAAATTACGTGATTTCAGCTTTTTTTACTTTACCCATATTAAAAAGTGGGTCAGATACCTAGGTAGCATTTCGTTTACAAGAGCGGTAGTGCTGGTAGCAGACGGTGAGTCCACGACTGCAGCGAATCGACCAACACTGAGTACGCTTTAGAGGCACATCACGGAACCTTCCTTTGCCAATTGCCAGTCTATATTAATTCTTTTGTCCATGGTGTTGCTATTCATTTAAATGTATTTTTTATGCGTTAAACACTCATTTTGGATATAAACATATTGGACTGTTGTCATTGACTTCAAGTACCTAATACAATTAAATGATTTATTAATTTGAGCTACTGAAGTTTTAGATATTATTTGTCTTATTTTCTAGATTCGTCTGTCTAATTCTTCATTTTGCATTGCCAGTGAAAAGGATGTGAAAACAAAAGGCTCACTTCTCATCCTTAAATCTTGTGTTCGAGCGAAAAATCAGGTAAGGATGGTTAAAACATTATTTCATTTGCTTAACCTTTAGATGTTATAAATACTCACTCATCAAACATTATAAATTTTTTCACCATAAATGGCTCAGTAGTTTTTATAAGGATTACCAACAGGGTGCAGCACTATTATTTTTTGCATTTATGACAACAGCTAATTTGAACCAACTAGCAACAAAAAATTGTGGTATACAATGAGAAATTTATTTTTTCTATGTTTTAGGTTCAGTGGTAAAACATTATGGCTATGGTCTATGTGCTATACTGTAGCATACCGTATGAATTAAAACAACCAAATTTTCTTAAACCGTGTCCTCTCCTATAACTGCAATAAGCATGTTCATGTTATACTTATATGCCAACCCCGTACGAAGGATGGGTACTCTGCTAGTGAGTAATAAATCAATTCTAAAAAATATCATCCTGAATCCAGTAGGGTACTTATTTGAGGTAGAACTATTGATGTTGATTCATTTATGAGGCTTCCTAAAAAGTGGTTTTACTGAGAAAGTCCACTTAAAAGCCTAACTGATTTTGAGTTTGTCGCCTTTCTATTACACTTGACTATACCCTACTTCACAGATGTGGTTTGAGACGGACAAGAACGAGCTGGTGCTAGCGCAGCTGCTTTGTATGGACGCTGGTGACCACCGACCCAAGGTGTCAAAATGTCACGAGATGGGTGGCTCTCAGGAGTGGAAACATCGCAGCTCGGTCAGTATAATGTAGATATTAATGGTTAACTACAGTAGTAGTATATGTAGATAACAGTTTAAAGACCTGCATCCTGCATGGAGTAATCTTTTGTTGCTGTGATGTAAACTGATTTCAGTTGTCAGGTTGAACCGTCTTCAGGCATACAAGGAGTAAAAACAATCATCAGTACCAAAGTCTGAAACATGTGTTGCATTTAATTTTGTTGAATATTACTGTATAGGTCTAACCTTGTTTGGTGTAAGCTTACATAAAAATTGTTCATGAGAAACCAAAACGGTCATTGACTCCAAGTAAATACTTTAATTTGGCAATTGCTATATAAAAAGAAAAGAGCAACCAAATTAAATTCCTGAGACATTAAGGAGAGGAATGTTTTCGTTATACTTTTCCTCAAACAGTTTAAATAACTTTTTTGGAAGCGAAATTGAATCCATTGTTGAACCGAGCACGGGGAAACATTCTGCATGACCATTAATAAAACTGAACCATGTGATGAGGAAGTAAATAAAAAAATATTTTCTTTAAAAGTACAAAATATATTTACATATTCTATAGAATGTACAAAATAACGATAAAATAATGCAGTTTTAGTCGCAATCAGGTTTAATTTTGTAGGGCTTACATCAGAGTCCCGCTAATAAAAATCCTGCCACTCCAAACTACCTATTAAGAAAATAAATCGCTGTATTTATAGTAAAAATAAAACTATGAGTTCAGAAATACGAACTAGTGTGTCCAGCCGAGCAGTAAAATAGGACAATTTTGATGACCAGAAAGAATTTCTCAACTTTATTCGGAATTGGGCAATTTATGATTGTTAGTAGCCTGTGGCCGAGCACCCATTCTGGTGTTTTTGATGATTCCCTTTAAAAGGTCATTGGGTGGTAAGAAGAACGTGATTGGCGGAGATGATCATGGTCGTTCCCGCAATCTTGGGAGAATATCACAGTATTATAGAAGAGGAAAGTGCCGGACGCCGGAACAATATTCAGTCATAAAAATACATTGTTTTATTTTTCTGTCATTTTACTGCATTTCAAGCCGATCTGACCGATTTGATAGTCCAGGGCTCAGCTCAATTTAGTTCATACTAGCTGTGTACCCGTTCTACGCACGGGGATCTTATAATATTCAGTTGAAACCTTCTTATATAAAGAACAGCAGTTGGTTTGCATATTTTAAGATATGCTGGCCAAACTATTATACATAGCTTCATTTTATGTTGTTTTTTGTTGTTCCGGATCGGTATGACAATCAATAAAAGGTTAAATTACCTCTGTGTCTGCCGGTCGATCCTATAACGGTAGGCTTACTTTTATTTTTACTATCTGATCTCGTTTGCATGGCTCAATCACGTCCTGGTTGAAGTTCGTTCGCTACGCTCACTCACCTGTATGTTGGAGCTCGTTCGCTGCGCTCACTTTCCTTCAGGTTAGCTCGTTCGCTACGCTCACTTGCCTTCAGGTTAGCTCGTTCGCTCGCTACGCTCACTCACCTGTATGTTGGAGCTCGTTCGCTGCGCTCACTTTCCTTCAGGTTAGCTCGTTCGCTACGCTCACTTGCCTTCAGGTTAGCTCGTTCGCTACGCTCACTCGCCTCCAGGTTGCAAATTAGCTGTTGTCATAAATGTAAAAGAAATAATAGTGCTAGTGCTGCACCCTGTTGGTAATCCTTGTAACTTTAATGCTATTGAACATCACAGAACAGAACCAACTTGTTTAATTGAAACAGCTGTTAAGATTCAATAATTTCATTTCTCATAAGGTTAACATGGGCTTCCAGAAATTCCACGTCAAAAATCGACAAAAACTTGATTTTCAAGGGTTTACTGTTAAATATCTAACTGTCTCATATTCGATGAAATACGTCTAAAACCATCTCATATATGTATAGTATTTGGAAAATAAGTTTCAGGCGGGACAGTGCTATAGTTATTGAGGAGTAGTTGTAATAAAGTGCGTATTTTAGCGTTACCAAGAGAATGACAGATAGACAGACAGACAGACAGACAGACAGACAGACAGAAATTGAGATAAGGTTTGATTCGGTTTCTCTGACCTATGAAATGTAAAAATAACCAAAAAGTTCATTATTCTAAGCAATGTACAGACAAAACTCTAATTTTATTTATATAGATTAGCCGGACTGGTGTATTTGCGCAGACTTACTGTAGTTTCTTTCTTTCTAAATTTCAAAAACTCTTCTTTTCTTCTTTCTTCTTGTATTGGCAAGATTATGTTCAGCTGCTGTTCATTTTGATGTATTACCCTTAACTTTACTATTTTATAATATTGATCTTGGTTCCAGTTCCAAGAAAGATAATCAATACTTGGAAATAAACAGTACAACTTGAAAATGCACCAAGTCAACAAAGATATAAAATGCGGAATATGAATCAAATCTGGTATCGAATGCTCTTTGTAACAGAAAATCAAATCCTTGTATATCGCTTGGGGTATAACTGTACAAGTATTGTATTCACACCATATTCGTTTGGCAAAGGTTTTTATAATTGTCAAAGAAGGTTTCAGCGATTGAACGTTGTTTGCAGAATGCCAGTCCCATCTACAACTTGGCCGCAGGTACCTGTTTGTCGGCCGCCACGCAGCCGCAACCTGATGTCCCGGTCGTCATGGATCTGTGTACGAACAACGGTTATAACCATTGGGATCTAGTGTCTGTTATTAGTTAGTTATACAATATGTTAAAAACATTTTTACAAATATTTATTTTTATATTTTCTTATTAATTTTTATACTTGTTTTCAATGTTATTAAAACTTTATTCTACAATGTTGTTTCAGTGATGTTACCTTATGAATTTTAAGCCTCTAACAGAATTTAGAAAAGTATCTATTTTTGATGAGTTGAGATTTGTTTTCTTTAAAAATAAAGAATGTTACTTGGATTTTTTTTGTTTCATTCAATTCAACAAATAAAAAAATAGGCTTTAGATTTAAATCAAGTCCCAATTATTTAGGGAATATATTTAATGAAACTCTTAAATGAAATGACAGTGAATGATTGAAACCTTAAAGGGTTATCTGAAAATCTGATGAGGACAAAACATCTTATCTAAAAAATACCTCATTTTAACTTAAATATTTTATTTTAAATATATTACCTTCAGCTTTTTCATTTTGTAATACTGGTTTCAAAAACTTGGCTTGAACGAAAATCCTTGGAACATCAATACCTTCTTTTACATTAATGGTTCTTCGATGAACATAGCAGTTAGATACAACTTTGAACCCAGCTTTTGTGAAGAGATCTCCAAGAAACTCAACGGAGAAAAAATATGACCTAAAAAATTAGACAAATTTAGTTTCCGCTCTGACTTCTAACACATTCTGTTAGGTATTTAACAGTTCGTAACCAAGCATTGCCATATTACGGTGTTCATCCACAAATTAACTTAGTATAATTAGGGAGGAAGGAGTTCATAGCTAACTGAATTCAATAAGACAAGTCATATGGACAGGTTAGACAACACCTAAGGTACACAATCTTGTTCAGCTTTCTTCGAAGAACAGAATCGATTAATTTATACAGAGATTTTTTAATTGAGCATTCTAGAAGGTATGTTTTTGTCAATCATTTCATTGAGACAGTGTGATGTACTTTTTGCATGTATTATACAGTAATCTGAATACAAAATTAGTGTAGAATGCAGTGGATGATCTCTGTGGGAGTCTTACTAACTAATATTAGCTATTCCTACAACCAAATCATGTATTAAAAGCCAAATAATCAATGACAGCTGATTCCAGTTTCAAATTATGAAAAAAACAAAGGACTTTTCTCAAGATTTAACCAGCAACATTTTGATTACCAGGCGAGCACTGGAATCACTCAGATGCCCAGCTATTAATTCTAAGCGCACCTTGTTCCATCTTGCCTCATGTAGAAGTTTTCAGATATCTTATGTCCAGGTTTGAAACGGAGTTGGGTCATGTCGTACAATCCGTAGTCTCGAAACAAAACATACCCACCAGGTTTCAACAGTGAAAACAAGGTAGTAGCTACTTTGGAAAAATTAGAAGGGTCTATGGCAGACAGAACAAATATCAAAGTAATTATATCAACAGAGCTTCTTGGAATTTCATCCAAAATATTTTCAGTAGTAATGTCTGTTTGAAAAGCTTTAATTTTGTTTTCACAATATGATTCATTTTGTTTCAATAAATCAATAGCTTTACTCGAAATATCACAAGCATAAATAAAGAAATTGGCATTTTCCTCAAAAAGAGGGTACACAAAGTTCCCAACTCCGCAGCCAACTTCAAGTAAAACACATTTCTCACTTATTTCCTTGCCAACTAGCTCTTCAAACTCTCTCGTGGTCCAATGTCTGTCTTTGAAAAAGCGAGTTTCATTTCTTTTGTAAAACAAGTCCCAGTGCTTCTTTGATTCACTATTTAACTTTTTTGCTACAAAATCTGAAATCATGCGGGAGTTTTGTCTCTGAAGTTTCTCGATTTCTTCATTAGTCAGATTCTTCGTTTCCGTTGTACAATCAGATTCTGATTCAAGTTTCTCATCCATCTGAAATAGAAAACAAACCTTTAAGTTTTACATTGACTGTGTTAGTCAAGAAATAATTGCAAAACATTGGATCATTTATGGATCATTCTAGCGTGAATTCAAAGACATGAGAAAGACATTTTTATAAATGTGAGCATTATCCTGTCTACCCATTATAAAACTGATGATGCAGTACTAAAAAGCAGTTCAGCAATTACCTACAGTAATTTGGATTAAAAGCCAAATTCTCAAATAGTGTGACAAAAAGGTGACAAATAGCCTAGTGTGACAGATTTGGGGAAAGTAATACGAGTTGAAATAATGTAGGAAACTCTCTACAATTTTAAGAAACAGTAACAGACCAAATAATTAGGCACTGCCTTAAACTGAATCTACGAATAAATAACTCAACCTAATCTAACTTATGGTTCACTTTTTACATGATTCTGCATAAGTTAGTGTCACACTTGGCTGGTACACATCTTCTTCATACAACACAGAGAAATGTTCAAAAATACCGTATGCTCAGTCAATAAAGAAGACATTCACACTAGTTGATGTAACACCGGTGTAATAACACTTAAATACTTTTTATTGAAATGGTGACCATACAAAGTAGGTATTTTAAGCCAAGTATGAATGGAGATAAGTGGCGCGATCTTGTAGTCATGTTACTGACTAAGGCCGACATATTCCTTAGACACAGCTGTTAATTAACAGACCATACAGCTAATGGCAACTAAGGGACCTTAAGTTCTTAGTGGAATTTGAACCACATTTTTCCCTTGCTATTAACTAATTGGTCTAATTATCCGGATAGTACTGTGGATAGTTGTAGTACTCACTAGTGCAGACTTTAATCCACACCAGGGAGAATGGCATCCACAGTGCATGCCTATAAATATCCACAATTTGTGACCTCCTAGTACCTGGATTACAGGACGACGCCACTGTCCCAGTAAATTACAATGCATTTTGGGTATAGTTCCACAGAGAGCCTACGTGTTGTTAACAAATTTCAGGTTTGGTTGGGTTAGGTTAGTTGAGCTTATGAATATCACAAACAAGGTAATTTACCTCATTCACAAAAGCTTTAATTTTCTAAACTCATGAAAAAAGAGAGCAACACGGATAAGTTTAATACAAATTGAAGTCTTTGTAAGTTTGTACAATACGATTTATATATTTAGATTAGGCCTAGCTAATATATCGGATACTATATCGTAGGTTCTCTGTGGAACTGTACTTACTTACTCCTTCTTCATCTTTTACCCAAAGTAAGGATAGATTGCGTCTCGACAAAAAATAAAAACATTTCTTTTACACGCACAAAAGAAAAAATACTTCAACGTGTAAAACCGTTTTAAGATATAACAAATCAATATGTATAGGCCTACATATATACAAGTTTAAAATGACTTCCAGGGATGATGCAGTGACGTAGCCAGGGGGGGGGGTCCTGGGGGTCCGGACCCCCCCCTTCTGGTCTTAAATATAATATTTTTTGTTAAATTAAATGTGGAATTATATAATCGTACTGTATTGACGTTGGAGTTGATTATTTTAAATGCCAAGAGAGCTAAAAAAGACCGTTTTAGGGTCTATATTTTTTTAAATTTTTCCCAGACCCCCCCTTTACCCGGACTCCCCGGTCGGTCGACCCCCCCTATTTTGAAATCCTGGCTACGTTACTGATGATGGAAAAGATGGCTACTGCATGTTTGCTATTTCCTTATCATTCATAAATGATTACCCTGCCTTGTATCTTACTTAAGACAGCCTTAGCTTACGCACACCAATGCTTCTTCTGAGTTAAATCTGAATAGAACTAGAACACCACATCACTTAATGCCGACATATGATAAGGAGTTTGTTAAAATCAATTGTGTAGGCCTATTGTTTGCTAGGCTTGTTAGGCTAGGCGGCTGCACTTTACTTTACGTCCTACACTCATTCGAATGAAAATATCGGTTATTCGATTGTTTCATTCGATATATCGTTTGGTTAGTTAGGTTAGGTTAACCTTACCTAACTAACCAAACTATATAACTTATCGAATAATCGATATATCGATCGATATTTTCATTCCAATGAGTGTAGGACGTCAAGTAAAGTGCAGCCGGCTAGGCACTACAGTAAGCTACGTCTACGCGATATTTTGTGTTGAAACACTAAGTAAATCTTTTTCTAAGTTAAATCAGTGGTAATTATAACACTAACCTAACTTGCTCATGAAAGAGGAGTTGTGTTAAAAGTGACAGCTTTTTAAAGTAAAATCAGAAATTATGGTAAAAGTATGTTTCTCTGGCTCACAATTTTTAATAATTACAAAAAGTAATAACTACCTAATTAAAATAATAGGTTTTGCTTTGCATGTAAAAAAGGTTTTAAAACAACAAAAATAATAATCACTTTCCTGATGTAATACAAATAATAATAATAATAACTCAGTTGCACCTTATAACTTCATAGGCCAATATAATAATGATCTAAACTAAAGCAAACTCTAAATATAAATTAATTATTATTAATACTATCATTACCCTTTTAAGTTTTCACTTTTCGTTGTTTTGTTTTTGTCAAGGAAATGATTTATAGGTTAGTTACGTTTAGTTTACGCCTCTCCTCCTCCTCCCTAGTCAGTCTGTTTCTACTTACTCCTTCCTTACTCTCTCTCTCTAGTTTCAATTTCAAACTCAGTAAAAAAAATGGACCGATCACCGATCACATGTTCTGCTATAGCTGTCAGCTGTTGCAGAAATTAATTGTTTGTATTTATTTATTTATGTTTAAATTTGGTTATACAAATTATTTAAGGTTATATGTTGTTGTTTAGCCTATTTTTTACTAATTCTAACTCCATTCTAATTTTAATGGGAACTCCATAAATTTGTAAAATTTTAATAATCAAGATAGACCAACTAGATAGTAAACTATATAATTTGTATTCAAGTTGCAGCAAGTTTAAGTTGAACGAGGTAAGAAAATCCTTTTTTGTTTGACAGTTTAGAGATATTAATTTGGATGATGTTCACATTAAGCTAATCGTAGGCCCCAATTAGGCTAAGTAAACTAACAGTTAAACCGGTTTTACACAAATCTGAATCTTGAACCCTAACCTAAAACCGTGTAAAGGTCATGCGGGCTTTAAAATTCTTTTAAATCAATTAGGCTTAATGGCGTTTTAGATTAAGCCTATTCTTATTACTTTTTTACCAATTAGATTGACACAAAACACAAACTCAAGTAGTACTCAAGTTAGTAGGCTAGTTCAGTCGGTAGTGCCACAGACTTCGGATTCGAGGGCTCCGATTCAGATTCTGGTAACTTACCTGCCACTACTTTCATCAGTACAGTTCACCCTTGTACTGTCCAGGCTTACCCCATGCTTTAGTGGATAAGCCGCATCCCCACTATGACGATGGTGGCCATTCGGCAAATCCGACTGGCTTGCCATAGTTTTTGCAGGCTTACAAAACGCATCGTGCCATGGGGCTTGACTTAAAATGAAGGCCTTGTCACACAGTGCTGGGATGTCATCTGATATATAGTTTTAACAGCTGCGTTGGTTGTTATTTTTGTTGCAGTATAACAACCTAAGTTACTGTACTCTCAAAGTTTTGGATTAGCCCCAGTTTGAAAATCTGTAATTGGGATATTTCTAGTGAACTAACTTACTTAACACATTCGCTGCGGGTGGGTCAGTACTGACCCACGGCCATTGCAACACTCACGCAGCCGGGTCAGTGCTGACCCAAAACCCACACTGGAATGCATCAATCTGTTGCTCAGTGCGAGCCTAGCGTCGGTCAAAGGCGGACTTATACCACGTTAACTTAGCGTGTAGTGTGTGACATGCTTTTTGTTGTGTTGTGTAGGTTGGTAGTAACCTAGGGATTCCCCCGTACAATCCCCATCTGGCAAGCTTAGAAATCAACTTGTTGTCTCGTCTTTCTCCCTCCAATTGGCAATACAATGGGACCGGCTACGTTCCAAGCAGTGCTGCGAACTATGTCGACACTCGTCGTAACGCAAACACAACAGGTTATTTGCTATTTGTTAGACCGAAATTTGAAATCCAATCGCCTGGGCTGTGTCGCACCGGGGATATACCCGCCATTGATGGGCCGCAGCGAACGTGTTAATGATTTAATGGTTCTTTGGAGGTTATGTTAGGTTGGCCTATCAAATAGAAAGTATGACTCATCTGGTATCGTTCGATTCATAACGAAACGAGGAATGTCCTAACTTACAAACATATTTATGATAACCCAACCTAACATAATGCTGTAAAATATGTGGCCTCAGTATAATAAAGTACCGATTTAATACAGGATGATGCTGCTAAACTTAATAAAATACAGAGCTGTTTAGGATTTTTTTTTCAAATGACAAAAATTTTGAAGAAAAATTAATTCAAAAGATTGAACCAAAAATAACCTAAACAACCACAAGGGTACATTTAGACAACTAATACCTCGTCCCCTCTTCAACATGCCTGGCTTCCTTTGATCTGGACTGACAACCTGTCGGTTTGGAATCGGCATACGACATTGCCGATTGGCACATGCCGATCTATACCCTATACCATGCGTTATAGTGGAGACAGAGCATATTTTAAGATATTTCCACTGGGCGACAGTGGGGCCGGACTTACCGGAAAAAAGGGGGGTCTGAGTAGGGATGTTGCGATACCACTGTCTTTCCGATATTTGGTATCGATACCGTATCGCAAAAAAGTATCGATACCGGCTCTGTATCGGAACTAAAGTATCGATACCGTCAGTATCGTATCCATTCGATACCAGTGACGTCAAATTCTGATTAACTGATCTTCGATTAAAGTTCACTCGTTCCAGTACAGTGCAGCCAATATAGGATTCGAATTGAAGCTGCTAAAAACTACCTAAATATGTAAAACAAAATTAACCAAACATAGCCAACCATTGTTTTCAATTTTACCTTCAAGTATAAGTTCAAGTAGGCCTAAGCTTACCTTAAGTCCTAGGCCTATATAATTTATCTTTTCAATAGACAATGTTATTAAATTACCAACGCAACACTTTCGTGTTTACCATCAGCCTAAATAAAAAAAAATTTTTTTAGTTAAATAACTTTAAGTGCCACCTTTTTAGTTTATTTGATGTTAAATAGTCCATGGTTTCATTTTATTTGCCTAACACAACGTTGCTAACATTGACTTGTAACAAAAATAACTCTGCAACTAAACTAAACCCTTAAGTTGTATCATTGACTAAGTATACGTCTGTAGGTTTATAGTCAATGGTTTTACTTATAGTTATGTACAGTTCTATGAAAAGTGAATCATAATTTACTCAAACCAAATATCAGCCAAGCTAGATAAAAAAAAAAATATTTAATTGGGTTAAAGTTTGTTTCTTTTTTGGGTCACTGTTGCTCCAGCCTTGGAAAATAACCGCTCAGAAGGCACGAGCGTGGCCATTTTACTCAGATTTGTCAGAAATTACGTTCCGATACTTACGATACGAACCTGGCCTCTTGGTATCGATAACAAGTAAATATCGGAAAAACCGATACCGATACGATACCAGCAGTATCGCAATAAAAGTATCGATACCTACTGGTATCGATAGTATCGCAACATCCCTAGGTCTGAGAGTTCCACCCCAAAAATTTTTGGATAAATTTAAGTGAAAATCACACATTTCTACGTATCTTTTAGTGAATTTTTCGATTAGCCTAATTAATTACGTATTCTAGAATCTAGAATACGTACGGTAATTAAGTGAGATTATATGGACTATTTACAAGCAATAATATAACCGTAGAACGTTGTAACAGGCCAAGGCTCCCTTCACAACCTCTTGGGCCAAAATCATAGCTCAATACTCTAAAATATGCTATAAAAGGTATAAAATTACCTGAGTACTGCCAGAATGATCCTGTTGGTCCTTACGGATTACGCGTTTCGAGGAGCTTAAGTCCTCATCATCAGATCTTGTACAAGAAACACATCTATCACTTCGAAAAGGTCGTCAAAAGTTTAAATATACACATGAAGTACGTAATACACCACAACATAAATACACGTTGTATATTTAAACTTTTGACGACCTTTTCGAAGTGATAGATGTGTTTCTTGTACAAGATCTGATGATGAGGACTTAAGCTCCTCGAAACGCGTAATCCGTAAGGACCAACAGGATCATTCTGGCAGTACTCAGGTAATTTTATACCTTTTATAGTTTGTTTTGTGATCCAGAGACAAAAACAACTCAAAATCTAAAATATGGTAAGACCTAGACCCAGAACCGATTTACTTTCTCGTTTTGAGGTCCCCAGAGGCCAAAAACCCTCCGTTCAAATTCGTATGAGTGTACAGCTCATAACAGAGAATGCCTTCTATGGTTGACTTTTAAAAAATATTATGGAAATAATAACATCCATATAAAAAAATACAAAAACTGTGATAAAACAATAATATGCTTGGTTCTCACTAGTTTTCTTTCGCCAGTTATGGTTTTATGTTCATGTTGATTTTAAAGAAGTATGAAAATTAATAGATAGTTTCAATGAGTATTAAGTGTTTTCTTTTAATTTCTTTTACAGTTTTTGCTACCTAAAGTCCAAAATGGATTCAAAGAGAAAGCTTACTATTTTGTATGGCAGTCAAACCGGAACAGCCCAAGAAGTAGCAGAAAGAATTTGGCGAGAAGCTAGATGGTAAGTGGATCCAAAAAATATTTCCAATGATTACGTTAATTGGGTTGAACTTAATTTAGGACATGCCTATTCTCAATGACAAACCAATTTTCTTTTAACGGAAACTGTAGCTTATGCTATACGAGAGATAAGTTTATGTAGGCCCATAAGCAACAGTAAATTCAACTCTTAAGATAGGTACATAAACAAGGAAAGTCTCTTTCGTGTTTAATTTTATTAACACAACCCACAATCTAGCTTTTAATTACTTGATTGAAGAGCAAGTGATTTATAATTATTTCTGAATTTCCCCCTACTACTATATACTTATGTTTCTTTTATGATCACTACTATCAAAGATTACACATACCGTAGTGTAATCTTTGCTACTATCATTTGATTGACTCTACTATTAACTAACTCTTTATCACTGTACAATATATTAAATGTATTGGTACTTATTACAGCTGACCTACTTGACAAACTGTCAAAGTATTTTCACATATGACTTGAATTAATGTATTTTATTATGATCTGGTTAGGCTAACCTTGTATGCAATTTATAAATTATTGTGCGTAAAATAAAAAAATTAACTTGTACTTTGTTTTAATATTTACTGAAACTATGCACAGGCAATGTTATCCATTCAATTGCAATAAAAACTATTATAAACAAGATAGTACAGGATGCAAAGATTTTATCAAGTGTAAAAATTATATCAAAGAATCAAGAAACCCTGGTTGTACCGGGCCTTCAAAAGGCTTTGTGCAAAATTTGAAGGACAAACTAGTACAAAATTTACAAAATGATAGTCATCAATTTGAGTTTTCTAGAAAGCCGATTAAGAAGAAACAAAAGGATTACAATTGCATTTTGCTAAGTAAAATCAATAATTTGGACAAGAAGCTACAAAACCTTGAACATTTGTTTACATCCCACCTAAGTCACAGTCAAAATGAAGTGTTGAACTCCAGCAATAGTGAACCTGTCTATGATTACATGCATTTCTATGAGTCCGTTCGTTCTCTAGCTGACTTAGCCAATAGGCTGAAGGAAGACATATTGTACAAACAGTGTGATAATCACTCGTCTAACAGAAACACTTCACACTTCAGTGATCGGATTCAAATTTTAGATTCAGAACTCCAAAATTTGTACACTTATTTAGACCAGCTTCCAAACTGTTGGAATGGAAAGAAAGATAGAAAACGATTTTTAGTTCAAGACCCTAAAGATGTTGCAGAAGATTCTGATTTTAAAGAACCTAAAAGGCCAAATAAAATAAAAAGGAGTTCAAAAAAATACAGCAAAGACTGTAGTGGGGATGATTCTTCATGTTGCTGTGAGGAGTGTTGTTACGGTTCTGATAACAACTATTCTAACAGCTGTGGTTATAGTGGTTGTAACTTAAATGCAGGCATTTGTGAATATAGTCCTGCAAAGAGAAATTCACCTAAACAGTTTGATTGTTGCCCTAGAGAATCTACGAAGTACTCCGACTGCACTTGTGAACTCTGTGTGAAGGAGAGAAGCAAAAGATCATATTTTAGAAAGAAAAAGCAAAGGATGCCACAAAGTTCCTCGTCTTGTTCTTGTGAAATATGCGAGAGTAATAAGTGGAATCCAAGTAACCAAAACCACAGCAGTGCATGGATAAAGATAGTTAAGCCTGTTAGAAAATATGAAAATGGAAACAGTTTCGACTCGTATTCTGAGTCGAAACCATCTAAAAATAACAAGAAAAAGCAAAAGAACAAAAATAAGAATGTGTATAAAGATAGTCAAGACATTTATTTCGATTCTCAGGATGATGGCGCGGAAAGTAATGGACCAAATTTAAAAAATGAATACCGTGATGAATCAAAAGGCATCGATAACATGGGTCAAAGTCAAAATAAAACTACAGTTCAGAATACAAAAACTATTCCACCCCCTAAAAATCAAGACTCGAGAGTGCAAAATCTTGTGTACTTAGAACTGACTCCAGATCTAAACATCATCACTAAAAGAAAAAATAACAGAATTGTTTTGAATAATAGTCAAGGTATGTGTCAGGTAAAAAATGAAAATGGTAAAAAACAAGCAAATATGGCTGCAAAAAATGAGAAAGAATCAAAAACAAATAGTTTTTACAGGCAACACACAGTAAATTACCATGTCAGGGATGGTAACAGGAGACATTTTCCTAACAAAAATATCCAAGGTAAAAGAAACTATGATATTTATAGAGATAGTGACCAGAATATAACAAACCCCTCAGGAGGAAATAATAGAAGCCAAACAAACAACCCGACTGGTAAACATTTACATATAAAAATAAATAAAAAGAGAGAATTTGAAGACGGTATGATTTATGGACAAAGACATGACGCTAAAAGATCTTTTGACCCTCATCACAGACATATGATATCTCGATGTTCTCCCCGTAATCATCGGAAACATGATGGATATTGTCACTTTCAACACGGCAAGTTCGACACAAAAATACCGTTGAATAAAAACTACCAAAAGATTCATCCATATCATAATGTGTCATCAGAATCTGAAAGTTTTGACACGGAGGAAGAAAATGAAAGCAGCACAGAGAGCTCTACATCTAATTACAAACTATTCTTGTGCAAAAAACCCAACTGCTTTGATAAGTTGGATTCAGATGAAGTAATTATGCTTATGAACCGAAAAGACTTGAAAAAGGGTGAGGGGTGTCATTACAAACTAGATGTTACTCAAAGCCTAAAAGATCTGAAGTCGGACGTTTGTGAAAAGTGCATGATGGAAGAGAAGATAATATCAGTGACTCCACAAAAAACTAAAAATAAGACAGATGACGGAGAAAGAAAAGTAGTTTATAAAAAAGAAATGACTGTTTGTTCTAACTGTAAAAACAACAGGAACGATGAATTGGGGAAAACAATTAAGACCAACATAGAATATTTTGAAATTGATTCTGAGAGTGAAGAAAAAGAACAAAGATTACAGACAAAAAAGTCATCAAACTCTAATAAAAAAACCAGTAATAAAAGTAATCCTGATCAAGAAAATCGTAAAAATGAGTATAATAGTGAGAATACGAATAAGAATAATATTAAAAATCAAAAAGGTAATCAGCAGCTAAGTAACAACCATTCACAAATGACTGTAGCACATAGTAATATTAATCAACACACGTCTTTCAAAACGGCAAAGGATGATTCTACTAAAGAGCTAGAGGTTCCCCCAGTTGGAAATTTGATAAACATCAACATTGAAAGGGGGTCGTATTCATTCAAGCAAATGCCTGATTCTGAAAATGTAACTGAAGTATCACCTTCACCAAAGATCACTTCGTCAGTGAAAAAGAACTCAGGGCTACCAAGGCTTAATACAAATAATTTGAACAATGTTAGCTCTTCTAGCAAAACAAATGGGTATGTAAAATTACCAAGAAATGTATCAGAGGAAATAATTATAGCCCATTCTATTCATCAAAACGATGAAAAATCTAGAAGTACTATAAATTTATCTAGTAATAATGTAGAGCTGAAAAACATTTCAGTTGTAAAATTTGATGTTTTAACAAAACTAGTTGGGCAAGCTAAACACGATGACGCTAAAACAACAGATGTAATAAATTGTTTAAATAAAAGTACTATGAAATGTAATGCTGAAAACATTGATTCTGAAAATCAAAATGAAAAGGTACAAATTCCAGCAACAGACAATCATTCAAGTGCTAAAAAAGACATACCACTAGTTTGTATGTCTGACAAATATAAAAACCTTGAATATCCTGCTACACAAGTCACTCATCACTCTAGGCACCAAAAATACAGTACATTGTCTAATACTCAAACAGCGCTTGGCAAAAACTTTGTGAAACCGAAAACTTCCCTGACAAAGGTAAAGAAAAATCGATTAAAATACAACAAGAAATTTGGCTCGTCCCTAAGCAAAGTTTCAAGTGTGAATTCTTTGGTAGTTCATCGAGGGAAATTCCACTCAGGACCCACAGCTCATTTCAAAAGGTCAATTATTTTTAATCAAGGACGAAGAACTAATCAACTTTCAAAACATAGATCAAATGGATACAAAAATTCATTTTATTTGGATGACAACTCTTTGAGTCGCGTGTTAAATCCTCGTACAACTGTTTTGGTGCAGAAGAGTTATCTAAATAACTTTAAACTCCCTTCAAATAATTTGTCTGATTCAAGATATCAAGTTGAGACTATAAGCAATTATCTTAGTTCTACAGTGGTGGCCGAAAGCTCCTACAGTACCATCAATTGGGAAACTGTGGCCAAAAAGTTAAAAGATGACAAATATTTTAATAACTAACTTTTGGTAATTTTATTAAATAATTGATTGAAGAATAATTATAGACTTAGGGTTTTGAGAATTATATCTAGGCCTACATTTAATATACAAAATTGTAATCCTTTTGTATTGAAGTAAATTAGTGTTTACGTTTAAAATTTTGTTAAAAATTATTCAAATAAATATACATAATTTATATATACTGTACAGTAATTTATTCTGGCAAACGCTTTTAAAGGGAAGGATGTGCTATACAATAAATTGTACCATATTCCTGTGAAACCTTCAGGCTACAAAAACAAACACTTGCTTTACAAATATGCTGAAAATCTTAACACAGGATTTCACACAGCTTTCCTGACTTTCTTATCTTAGCAAACAGCGCAATTCTAGAGCTTGTCTACAATTATACTTCTCTTGATATGGATCTGTAGCAAATGCTATTTTACATAAATACGGATACAATAGACTTGACTATCCGACTTTATCAAGGTTTGGATTTTCAGAAAAGTAAAGTAACACAGACAATAATAAACAATCATTATTAACATTCATTATATGGTTTATGGGTCATTATCGAATTGAGAACAAATTGCAAAAAGTTGGAAAAAATAAATAATGTTTTAATTTTTTAATAATTTATTAAGTAAACATAAATAAAATATTGAAAAGAATAAGACTTTAATGTCAGCAGAGCTTAATTTCTATTTTTCTATTTTTTACA